TGTTGCAACACAGAGGCGTGTTAGATCCCGAGGATTCAGTCCTAGGGTGAGTGTGTGCCCCGAGCCTTCCGCTAGCTTGTATTTTGCAGGGGCATCGTCAAATGCCTTAAGGATCTGCCTCTTCAGTTCAGAGACCTGTTGGGTAGGATCGGGCATGCAGGGCGTGGGTTCGGGGTTGGCTTTACCTAGAAGAGCCCTCTGAGCCACACTTTCACATTTCAGGCGGAATACTCCAATTAGTTTGGGTACCAACATGCCGGGTATGAAGCTGTTGCGAGGAGGATGTAGGGTCCGAGGAGGGGGTAGGTTCAAGGTTTGGAGTAGGGGGCATAAACGACCTAGCAACTATTACAGAGGTTTCATAGACTTGTCGCTCCATCCAGACTACCCAGTCATGTACTTCCTCTCTCGTATGGGTGTGTACATTATCCGCTACAGGGTCCGCAGAGCTGTCTAGCCAATAAGGAGCGCATTCCATAATGGCATCGTGAACAACTACAATTCCATCTAAAGGGTAGGTATTACGCTTCTGTGCAAACCTAGAGTACAGAGAATCCGCAGCTACCCTAGCCACTCCAGCAGGCATACTCTGCAGTTCACGTCTGAGTCTTTGTTTCAGTTCACCCTGCTCCAGGGGCATTGCTTCCAGTTCTACACATGCGCAAGAAGCTTGAGGCTAAAGGGGTCTCTGTGGATGCATCAGACGAAAGTGTGTTTCTGGGGAGAGCGGTTGTTCATTAATGGGGTCTTCGGGATTGACAAAGCATACCCTTTCACTCCGAAGCCGTGGGTCTCCTGTAGGCCACAGATAGGGAAGATTCCAGTTGGTATGGATACCAGAATAGCAGTCTAGTGTGTGGTAAACACGCATAGATACACGTTCAGCCCAAAGAAAGACGCGGTGATTGTCGTGAATACTAATAGTTTCTGGTCTATCCTGTTCATGTGCAGCAAGCGTACTAGAAATAACATCCATGAGGGTAGCCCAGTATGACCAAAGGACAGACCCACTGTGCTGCAAAGGGATCATGCATCGCATTTTCCTGAAACGAACCAAAAGCCTTTGAAGCAGCAACATAGGTTCGGGGCTTTGAGGGTTTAGAGTTTTAGAGGTTGGGGGTGCATGTATATATGTATATGCATAATTATGGATGGATGCTTGCTCAGACATGTTTGAGTGGAAATGCGGGCAAAGAGTCTGCGATAGTCTGCGACTGCGCATTCAGATGTAATTGCAAGTGGACATTCACTACAAGCTGTTGTGAACTGAGAGCCAGACGCATCCTTTGCTTCACGTGCAAGAGTCCGGACTTCATCAACCTCTTGACGGAGGAAACGCGGCTGACTAAGTCAAGGCTCCTTGCCTGGTGTAAGGTGGGGTTGGGGGACAATGGCTCCAACAAGAGTGAGAGCCCACTTACATGTTCCAGTTCCGCGGTCATGACTCTTTAGCAGGTGCGTCCATTTGAGGTCTGCTCGGGTCCGGAATGAACAGTTGATTTCTCTCAGCACTGCGAAATCAGGGTACTGTTTATTCAAGACCAAAGCAGAGGTTGCATTGTAAAGCCTAGTAGCCGACACTCTGCATACCTCGCCCTTTGTGCTACCACAAGTGGTAGGAAATACCAGACACAAGATGTGTCGTGCATTCGGAATGCAGTTGTACGTGAATACACCAGAACTATCATTACGGATTGCCTCGCACGCCCGTGCAGACCCCCTGGGCAGACAACTCCCTTTCTTTAGTGAGGATTGTAACAGAAATCCTAATACTAACGCCCCTAAAGAAAATGAAAGGGGTGTCTTGTTTTCCCTCCTACCTAGCAAGGACCAGCCCGCATTGCAGGGTAACTTCGAAGCAGCGTTGAGAAGGGGCGCCATGAATCAGGGTCTGTGTTCGACAATTAACCACGGTTCAGGCTCGTCTAGACAAACACAGAATATAGTTCAAACCATGATGTGAATAACCAGGAGAATACTGTATTTTCAATCTCGCTGAACATGATAATAATGACAATAGACATGATGTTGAGTATGCTAAAAATAACAGTAAAACTAGTCGTAGCAGCAGAAGCAACTATGACAAGGTTGTAACAATGACAATCGAAAAGATAGAGTTGTAACAGTCGTAATATTCGTAGACTTTAATGATCACAGTTAAGCAGAACAGCATCAGTGACAACGACAATAACAATCATAATCATATTACATAATGTCAGTCAGTAGTAGTAATCATGCTCAGACCCTCATTCGTAACCATAGTAATATCAGCGAGATCAAGGGCAAACGCGACAGCAATAACAACAGCGTCAGCAACGACACCAACACCAACATCACCACCACCAGCAACAACAGCCACCGCCACCACCACCAACAACAACATAATACTAGTAATACTGACAATAATGATGATAGTGACAATAATACCAGCGCTGTTAAATTACAATAACGAAAATCTTACCACCAACAAAAAGTAACACACAAAAAACACTACTACCAATACAATAACAACAGAGAACACACCGAATAATTAATATAACAAGAGTAATCACAGTAATGAAAAACGCGATAACAACGCACTACACAATTAAACAATAGAGATGGCTACTCGCAGCTGAGCTGCCACAGATCTGAGGCTCTCCAAGCTGCGGCGCGTCTCGGTCAAGAGGGCCATCACCCGGTCTGCCTCCCTGGGTTCGGGTCTTGGGGTCGTCACAGTAGCGAAAGAATATTGAAAAAACATGGCGCTAGCAGCAGTAAATGTCGTAGCAGCGGTGGCAGTAGATCCCAAGTCTTAGCCCCACCCTTCATTAGGCGATGGCGGTTGATCCTAATCTGCAACTCGGCCCCTCATCACGTCTAGGCCCTGGCGGTTGGGCCCTGTTCTTAAGCCCGGCCTCCCAAGAAGCTGTGACGGATCTTATCCCTTAAAGCCCCCAGCCCCACCTAGGCGACTGCGGTTGATCCCCCCATATCTTAAACCTTAACCCTTATTCGTGCTGGCGGTTGATCCCATCTCTGATTTGCGACATCTTGACCTTAAGAGCGAAAGCACCCCGACCCCAAAGTCCATGACTCGCGCCCGATACACAAGATCAACCCCAACTTGCCTCGTTGCTGATGGGCTGGTCTTGCCTGTCGAGGCGCTTGCCACAGGCTCTCCTTCCATGCATCACCGTGACAGTGATCGGGGCTGCTGGTCTGGAAGTAGCGGTGAAATGCTTCAGCTCCACCAGTACCGAAGGTGCCCTCATGCTTCAGAGTTGATTTTGGGCTCTAATTTTTGAAGACATTTAAATAGAAAGCACCCGTGACGAGAAAGCGAACAAACAGGTTTGCAAGCGTGGCAGCCACACTCACTGCGTCTGCATCCGTACGGTCTGATTGGTTTCGGTGGCTTATGTACGCGAGCGGCTTGACAAAACGCGCAGTATGCTTGTTGAGTCACGAGCTGTGGCCGACACGATCTGAGGAAACGTACAGCATCAAGAGTGAGAGTTTAGCTTCGCCAGTCACCACGGCAAGAAGACCAAAGGAAAGGCGATCAACCACAACCCGTGGAACTCGAAAGCCTCACGCCGTCCAGCCAAACGCACAAAACAACCTCTGACTTTCACATGTCAGCCCCAATGCCGAAAAAAAACGAACTAAACCCCAAAATCCTGAACCCTGAACTCCGACGCCCTGAGCCCTTGAACTCCTAAAGCCCTGAATCCGAAACTCCTGTTTGCTACTGGGCCCGAGTCTTCAATCCTACACTCCTGAATACTAGCACCCCACACCCTTAGCCCCAAACTCCCGAATCCCAAACCCGAATAAGCTCCCGAATCCTGAAACCTAAACTCCTGAATCCGAAAGCGAGCCCTTTTCCACAGGCTTGATTAGTGCTCGCCCGGCCAGAATCCCCAAGCACAAACCCTAAAACCCTAAACCCAAAAAAACCAAAAAACCCTAAAACCCTAAACCCCAAAACCCTAAAACCTTAAACCTCCCAAGCCCACGCTTTCAGGTCCTTCGCTCCGAAAAAACCCAAAAAACCCTAAAACCCTAAACCCCAAAACCCTAAAACCTTAAACCTCCCAAGCCCACGCTTTCAGGTCCTTCGCTCCGAAGCCTTTCCTCCGTCACCGGACGCCCGACCGCGGCCGGATCCTTAAGGGCTTTAAAGGGTCCCTATAGGGATTTAGGGACCCTTATATAGTACCCTAAATAGTAGGATCCCGATTTTTAGCATCCTTAAGGGCTTTAAAGGTCGAGTATACGGAGTTTCCGAAAAATATGGTACCCTTATATAATACCCTAAGTAGTAGGATCCTTATTATAAGGGCCCGCAAAATATAAAGTACCCCGAAGTTTCGGAAACTCCCAATAAGGTCTGAGGGCTTAAGGATCTGGGGTTCAGAGGGCTTGGGTTAAGGGTTTAGTTTAGGGGTTTAAGGATGCAGACAGAGGCTTAGGTTAGGTGGGTAGTTGGATCGGTAGATCGACAATCGACAGGTCAATAGCTATGGTTAGATGGTCACGGACGCGGCGGACACCGCTCGAACCGAAACAGAACCCACCACCCAAACCAGAGGGCGCGAAGCGACGGGTGTCAATGCAATGATCACATGACAGCCAGCGCTTCCGCGCAAAGCACGGGTGCAGGGGCACCATCTGCAAGCGGAAAAGGGAAACACCAGCGTCTAGTGTAGTAACAATCAACAAGGATGACAATGCTACATGTGAATAGGCGCAATCATACCTCCGAGTTCGCTATGGGTAATTAACTGCTCAGCCGCAAAAGGCGTGTGAAGCAAAGAGCACGCACCGCGCCACGCATGGGCTGAGGGGGGCGGTGCTATAGGGTCGACGGGAGGAGGTGCAGGGCTTGGTTGAGTGATGGATAGATAGGCATGCTTAGCTTCAGACAGATTTATGGTTAGATGGGCGGGCAGACTGACAGAAGGTTAGACATAGACTAGACTAGCTTGACCAGGCTTAGGTCAGGCTAGCTTCGCTTAGATTTGACTAGATTTGGCCAGATGATTAAATGAAACTTGTAAACTTCGGTTATCGGTTAGCACCGAATAACAGAAACAACGATACTTGTAGATACGAACACATTGACGAACCAAAGAAGCCGACACCAGCTGCTTGCAGTGCATGCAGGTCGCCCAGTGAAAAGTGAAGTCTTTGATGTAGCGGTGCGGGGAGCAGCCATAAAAGGCACACCTGGGAGCTGTTGCCGCAAGGGTGAAGCGAGTGGCCCTTAAGACAACATGTGCTCGTTCTTTATTTGCGTGGGGTTCATCCAAAACGCAAGACCACCACCACTACCACTACTGCTAGTGCTATACTGCTCTCGGACTCCTAGTCTTCCTCCGACTCCGACTCCGACACCTAGTCCAAGTCCTAGTCCTACCCCCAGTTCTAACTCCCAGCCCTGGTCCCACAAAACGAGAAAGCGTCTTCGCGACAGTCATACCATCATCGACCCCGGAGCTCGTCTGTTTTGGAGGAGGGCCGTGCCATAAGAGAGCCTGGGCAAGGATCCTTCACCGCAAAGAACCCAGCCATCACAGAATTCCCCAACAGAATCTTACTCCCTGGCCGGAGGGCACAGGATCCATCAAGTCAGCCTTGTCCCCGAGGTAGTAGTTCCTAAGACTTTGGTTGTAGCCCCAAGGGTCCAAAGGATCCAATATTTTTTTTTTGAGCTCCTTTTTATGTCTGCCCATCATCCAGGCTAACACAAGGCCATCGGCCAGGAGATGATGCTGGGGTCTTACCCCCCAACACCACAAAAACCCCTCTCAGTAGTCACCCTGGAAGGCTCGCAATCCTTCATGCTTGTGCCCACTCAGATCTTTGGCCCTCAGTCCCCTGCATCACTAGATGAACCTCGACCACGCTCGTTGTCTTGGCGTGCCTCAAGTGCTTGCTCCATACGATGATAGACTGCCCCATCGAAGTAAGCCTGCCTCTGCACCTGGAGGAAGCTCATCACTTCCATCCCATGTGCTACGATGATCTCGGAGGTGCTGAGCAACCCTGCAGTCCACTTCTGGTAAAGCTCATCGAGCAGCTCCATCGGAATGCCTGAGACTTTCTCCAAGACATCCTCGGGATTCGGCGACTCGTTGGGGTCCAGGGCCGTGTGGGGAGGATCAGCTGGCCGATCGCTGAGCAATGGCGCCGGCACCGTCGAGGGCGTGGTAGGGACATCTTCGTTGAAGGCGACCTGCAGGAAGAGCTGCCCTCGTCCGTCAGCGTCAAGAGGAACCGCAACAGTGCTCGACACCCCCGGTTCCCCATCATTTCCCACTCGGGTCGTCACATGTAGTGTCCCCCTCGATCTCTTAGCCGGCCGCGAAAGCTCCTCTTGGAATGTCCATGTTTCCCAGTCCCGGTAGGTAGCCGCACGATGCTCTTCGTAGGCCATCTCCATGGCCCTGGAAAACTCCGCTTCCTCTTGCTCCCGTCGCAGCTGTTCCTGTTCGCGGGTCCTTCGCAGAGCTTCTGCCTCCTCAAAGGCTCGGGCTGCCTCCAACAGTTCGTCCTCAGTGGGAGTTCCCGCCGGGAAGCCATGAACCGGTGTGGGAGGCGGAGGGCCTCGCGGAGGTCCACTAGGGTCAAAGGCAGGGAGGACATCATCATCAATCGAGTCCGTGTCGTTGGGCATTGGCTTGGGAAAGAGCATTTCCTGTGGGTCCTCCACTGATACGGCTTGTCCTCGAGCGAGTGCTGAGCCCCGAGATATCGGCAGGTGAGGTTCCAGTCTTGTCCACCATTCAAGTGCCCAGGAGTCACAAGCTGCGGTCGAGGCATCCTGACAGTTGATGTCATCCAGGTCGGACATGCCCGCCGTCAAGAGGGCAATGAGCTCGGCGACCCGGCCTGTAGCATGTCCCAGCAGGCGCCCTGCTGCCGTGTTTGTGCAGCGATGGTGGATCCTCCGGCGGAGCCATCGGATGTTGGCCACCCTGGCATGCTTAGTCATGCTCTCAAGTGCTTCACGGAGTTGTTGGAGGACCGAATACCACGACGACGACATGGTGGTCTGCATCAAACCGGTTGCCTCAGTCTCCACCTCGACAGTTTCCTCTGTGCCTTCGTCATGTGGAGGGTTGTGGCCCCTGCGCGCTGCCATCCGTACAGCATCCTGGAGGATCGCCCCCACTGAGGCCATGAGCTGCTGCACCATACTCGTCAAGGCCAGGGCACTGGTCAGTTGGTCCTGTGGGCTCAGATCCATGAAGTTGTCCAAGATGCGGTGTTCGATGTCGGCGGGCAGGAAACGTGGAGGTGCGTCGTCCAGCTCCATAATATTCAGCCACACCAGCCAATTCGCCACAGCTTCCTGCATGGTGAGGCCTGCCACCGGTGGGGAATCGTCACTTCCACGAGCATCCGAAGAGGAGGCCGGCAGTGCTGGTGTAGCCGACTGCTTGGTTCCCGCCTTCGGTCGTGGTTTGGCCTTGGCCTTGGGCTTGGTGGGCGGCTCTTCTGGTTCCTTTGGTGATGCATGCTGGTGGCTCCAAGGTCTGGTGGTCGGCCCCCTGTTCGTCGCCCATCTCGAAAGGTCGCAGGTTTCACGAGTGACGGTCACCGGTCTGGGCTCCTCTCTCGTAGGCCTCCTTCTACGCGGGCTGGGGCTTTTCAGCCACTTCTTTTTCACCTTATGCCCAACGAGGCACACTGCGTCCGTGCTGGAGGCCGCCTCGGTGTGATTGGTGTCCTCCTGCATCGTGGCATCGTTCTGCAGGTCCATCATTGGTTGGTCATCGCCCCTTCCCAGGATCCAATAATTAGGTACTCGGCTTTAGGATAGTAGTTATGTAGCTTAGGATTTTGGAGAGTATATGATTATTGGGTGCTTAGACCCTTGGGGTAGTTGACTGCGCCGCAAGAGTCGACGCATCGAAGCTAAGTTTTGTGGCCAGAGGATTTCAAACCTTTATGCCCCGCTGTCGAGGCATTGAACTTGAGGCGATGAGGGTATTGGGCAAATCTACTTGATATGGAGCTTAATGATTTGAACACGATGTTGAGAGCATGGTAACTGAAACTACAGGCAGTCTAAGGGGATACTAGTGCTGAGACTCTACATTTGGGGCATCTCCCCGTCAGGTCGAATCGAAGAAGTCCAATTCTAGGACCTAGGACAAATATTTAAACTCTCTTGGACACCACGTACGTAATGTCTGTGAACGGCAGAACAAACCCCATCCCACAGACCAAGGTTCTGAGAAAAACGAAAGGTATGATAGTAATGTTGCGCTGTGTTTTGTATGCCCCCAAACACTTTCCGACCGCTATGAATAGTGTGATCCCGTGTGCCCGTCGTACATACGTGCAGTGGTTGTACCGCAGTGTAGTAGTAGTAGTAGTAGTAGTAGTAGTAGTAGTAGTAGTAGTAGTAGTAGTAGTAGTAGTCGTGGTGGTGGTGGTAGTAGTAGTAGTAGTAGTACAGTCGTAGTACAGTAGTGGCACAGTGGTAGTACAGCAGCTGTAGTACAGTAATAGCACAGTGGTGGTACAGTAGTTCAGTAGTAATACATAGGAGTAAGTACAGTACCCATCGGTACATAGTACAACCCTGGTATATAAGTACACAAGCAGTACAGCAGTGCAATGGTCAGTGGTCGTTTTGTTGGGTTTAGGAAAGGCTCGGGCGGTTCGTGTGTCCAGGGAAGGGGTGCCTGGTTCATTGATGGGATAAATTCGGGTTGACATCGAATTGAGGGGTTTTGCAGGGGAGGGTTATTGGGGTCTAGGTGGGCTCAATAGGTCAAGATGGGCTTCCTTTACAGGGTTCAGGTCCAGGTGTCCAGTGCGTTTTTGTTTTTCCTTTGAGAGGGGCGGGAATCTAGACGGGGTTACTTAGAACTGTTTGGAGGCTGCAGGACGTTTTGGGAGGGGTTTGGGCTTGATTGGGGTCTGGATGAACTAAAGTTGAAGGGTTCAGGAGGGTCCAGGTTGGTTTGGGTTTCATTGGGTCGAAGTCAAGGTGGCAATGAAAGAGTTGTGAGTTTGATTGGGGTCTAGGCGACACTTGAAACGGCTTCGGACCAGGCGGGGTTGTGGAGCTTTAGCCCTATCAAGGCCTGCTCAAAGCCATTAAAAAACGCACAAAGAAGACTGGAAACCCCTTCAAAATAAAGCCTCCGGCCTATGAACATCGTCAGAAAAGGTTACCAAACCCTTTTATGCTCCTCAAAACCAAGACTGAGGCTTCGAAACACCCTGAACAAAGGCTCCACAACCCTTATATTATCAATCTGTGAAGATTGACAATCGCAGAGTTTTTGCGCATTCAAGACGGCCGCCCAAACACTTCCAGAATCCTGAAGAAGCACAGAAAACAACGCGTGCGGAAGATTGACTGCCACGGCAACACAATATCCATACCGTTTGCTGCCACCTCAGCACAAACCACCAACTTGTAAGTACAAGCCGCAACGGAATATAGGGGCCTCAATAATTAGTCAGACTTGGCTGTTTGGATTACATTCTGGTGCACTTACAAAAAGCAACCCTAGGGGATAATGTTGGTAGTTTATCCAGGCTTCCATGTTGGTCAGCCCTGCCCTGCTGCAGAATGCCCATGGGGTGAGGCACTCTTGCAGAATATCTCCCTCTTTGCCCCACAACAACCAATGTAGGGATGGCTACCAAAATCATTCCTCTGGGTTCTTAGACCTCGAGACCGCGCCCCCCCTCCCCAACCCCCCCACCGATACATCCTAAACTCTGAACTCTGGACCCTGAGGCTTTTAAACCCAGACTCCCTCATCCGTTTCTCAACCCTTAGATCCAAAACCCCGTGAACTCCCAAAATCCTCAACCACTAAGACCTGGAGACCGCGAAAAGGAGACGGAGCTCAGTGTGCTGGACTTGAAATGATCCGGGTCTGCGCGAATCAAGTCAACTAGCCTCATGGCAAGTGCATTTCGGCATTCAGGTTTCGGGAGGTGCATTTGGGGCGGTGTAAGCGCTGAAAGCTTTCCGTTGAGGTGATGAGATGCATAGGTCAAGGCAAAGGTGCACATGTTCGGATGCGCTGCGTTAGAAGCTCCACATCGGCCCAGAAACCATCAGAGTGGATGGTGTGACATCAGGTGTAGGGTTTCAGCGCTTGGGGTTAAGGTTACCGAGAGCAAAACGTGCAATGACAGGCAAGTGGCTTTTTCAGGGAGAACTGCCGGCTGAGCTGATGTGGGCGTTCGAGCTTCTTCGCCTTGCTTGCAATGTAGGGGCCCCAAGAATATTTGTGAATTCGTAGCTGTGCACGACCACAAACCCAGAAACTTCAACCTTTCCCGCGGAGACTCGAAACCTCAAGCACTACTGGACCATAAGACAGATAAGCAAAAGCTTCCCAAACTGCCGCTCGAGCTGCGTATTTCGAGAATCTGCCAGCCTTCTTGGGCTGTTAACCATTTCTTTGCTACTGGACTCAAGTCTAGCCTGACCACGACCTGCAATCATGAACAACCCTAAACTCAACCCAAGACGAAGCTAAGGCCAGGATCCCTCCTCAAGTGTTTCTCTAGGGCCTAGGGGATGCGGCAAAGGGCATGACTAGAACAGGTTGCCAACACGATTACATCACTGTAAGGGTGCTTACACCGTTTAGCAAAGAGCTCGGTTTACGGTCGCGGATTCAGGCCCTAGGGGCTTCAGTTTTCCAGTGTTTTCGCAGGCGCCCAGCCGACCAAGTCGCACCCCAAGAAACATACTAGAATCTCTGGCGGAGCAAGTCTCAAGGGGTGAAGTATCCCTCTGACACGACACCAGCAACTGTAGCATCCGATACAAGCAGCGGATCATATTTCGGCGTCGAACTCGCGAGACTGGTGCAATCTGCTACCGTGACACTCCCGTTTTGGGTTGAAAGAGTTGAAGGATTTATTAGGCTTAGGGTGCTTGTCTTTACCACTCACGGCTCCAAAACTTCAAGCGAGGGCTATGGCACATGTCCCCCGGCCGTACTTAAGGTGGTTTAGGGTTCAAGGCTTAGAGATTGCGCTTTGGAGTAGGCTGATTCTCCCTCTCTCTCCCTCTCTGTCTCTTTCTTTCCCCAGGCTTGAGGGCGTGCCCCCGCGGGAGCAGCCCGACTGTTGGAGGTTTGCACGGTCGTACGTGCGAAAAGTTTCGAGCACTTCGCGGGCTGAGCATGGTTCTGTCTGTGTAGATACTGCCCCGTGTCCTGCCATTACATTCCTAGCTCTGTCTCTCTCTCCCTCTCTCTCTCTCTCTCTCTCTCTCTCCTCCCTCTCTCTCTCCCTCTCTCTCTCTCTCTCTCTCTCTCTCTCTCTCTCTCTCTCTCTCTCTCTCTCTCTCTCTCTCTCTCTCTCTCTCTCTCTCTCTCTCTCTCTCTCTCTCTCTCTCTCTCTCTCTCTCTCTCTCTCTCTCTCTCTCTCTCTCTCTCTCTCTTCTCTGAGATGCCTGCTGTTCTAATGTCTAGACAACAACGGCCAGAAACAAACACATTGGAATATCCTCTGGACCGCCGCAAGGCCCACCCAACTGCCTCTGAACCATCGAAGATGATGTGGAAGTGCAAGGTCGAGTACCGGGCGCTGGCAGGGTAGTGGGCAAAGATCCAGACTCGCGTCTCAGGCACGGAGTACTGGACCTGATGAGTTTCTCGCATATTACAAGCTGTTTGTTTTCTTATACATGTGTATACATGTATATTATATTTATATATATATATATATATATATATATATACACATCCATATATATATATATATATATGTATATATATATATATATACATATACATGTATATATATATATATATATATATACATACATATGTATAACACTATTATATGCTGTATACGATAAACTATAAATTATGTATATGATGTTATATATATATATACACACATATATATATATATATATATACATATGTATATATATGTATCATATAAGTTGTATATGATACTGAAACCATGTGAACCAAAGCCTTCAGAATCAGAGACTGAGGAGCTCGAGCTTTCCAAGGGCTGGTCCTAAAGTTGTTCGACTGTTAATTACTGAAGGGGTCTAGGGCTAGGGTTTAGGGTTTTTGAGTGGTTTAGGGTTTAGGGTTTAGGGGTTTAGGGTTTAGGGTTTTTGAGTGGTTTAGGGTTAGGGTGCTGCTTGACAGGTCTTGCTTGGGCTCTGGAGAACATTTTGCTCGCACGACGCGACACTATTTTTTCAGGCTCATAGGCTAACTGTTTGACTGGGCATTCCGCATCCTGCCCAGAACCCAAAAGCCCAATGGATGGGGTCTGGAACTCGAAGTTGAGATCTGCCCCATCGCATCTGGTTCAAAGCAGGGGTTCCTTATCTCTTATATTATCTCAGGAAAAGAATGATGACCAAATGATGCGAATGGGCCGCTTAGACCCAAATGCATGAAAGAGCTAACCCCTCGAAGGATCATATGTATGACACCCCAAAAAGTTAAAGGTTGCCTACTCTACCACTACGATCCTAAGGCTTGGAAGCTGCAACTTGGGCTCCTCAGAAGCAGTCACATTCGCTGCTGTTCTTTTAGCTTCCGTGCTTAGGGTTACGGCTTCCTGGAAGAGGTCTGAATTCAGTTTCCTCATGCTTGCTTCATGCCGTGGAAAAACATGTCGGAGGGCTCAAGGCTCAGAAGAGGGTCCAAACAGCTGCCCTTTGCTGGGGTCGCTGCCTGTGGATCCAAATCCTACACAAGTAAGGCATGTCAGATAGAACAAGAGGATTTTGGGTGAAGCGAGCCTGGAGGAAGTTGAGGACATCCTTGTAAAACTGCTCCAGCATGGGCAAATCCTGGTCCCAGGATCAGGATAAACATGCAAACAAGAAAGACCTTGACCTTAGACTCGTAAGACAATGCATAGCGAGAAAAAGCCAAAGAGACCGCCGGCATCTAGCCATGTAACCTCTAAGGTCCTTAGTGTTCGAGTGAAGCATCACCTAAAGAGATGACATATGATTGATATTATCAATAACATGCTGTATAAAACAAATATGTTCGACTCTCTACTTCCTTTGACAGGAAATCGCGGCCATCGCAAAGAGGGGACCTCAAGCCACGACTGTTCCGCCCGACAAACACGCTCCGAAACGGGATTTTGTCGAGACCTCTTTCGCTTCTGTCACAACACTTCACATACAGCTTGATCTATGCTTACCCATCTTGTGCCTCTTCCTGCCGTTGCTGCTGTCATTGCTCTTGCGATCGATGGTCCCTCATGGGACACCCTGAACCGCGAACACGGTAGAGTTTGATGGGTCCAAGCTGTGTTTAGAGGCTCGAAACTCCGGTGGACGCTCACGGATCTTCAGACTCATTCTGTGGGTAGCGAGCCACCTCACCACGAAGGTCTCGCGCGCAGCAGAGGTAGCGCGGTTGAGTAGGTTTTCCTGTGCGAGAAAGGCCGTTGAGGCATGTCATGGTTTGCAACTCTGTGGTAACATCAGTCACAGACACACTTCATGTACCTTTAACTTTACCACCAAAGCCTCAACCACCACCACCACCACCACCGCTGCTACTACTACTACTACTACTAATACTACTACGACTACTGCTGCTACTACTACTACTGCTACTACTATTACTATTACTACTACTACTACTACTGCTGCTGCTGCTGCTACTACTACTACTACTACTACTACGGCTGCTGAAAACTACTACTGCCACTACTACCACTACTACCACTACAACAACTACTGCTACTGCTACTACTACTGCTGCTAGTAGTAGTAGTAGTAGTAGTAGTAGTAGTAGTAGTAGTAGTAGTAGTAGTAGTAGAAGTAGTAGTATTAGTAGTAGTAGTAGTCGTCGTCGTCGTAGTGGTGGTAGTGGTAGTGGTAGTGGTAGTGGTAGTGGTAGTGGTAGTGGTAGTGGTAGTGGTAGTGGTAGTGGTAGTGGTAGTGGTAGTGGTAGTGGTAGTGGTAGTGGTAGTGGTAGTGGTAGTGGTAGTGGTAGTGGTAGTGGTAGTGGTAGTGGTAGTGGTAGTGGTAGTGGTAGTGGTAGTGGTAGTGGTAGTGGTAGTGGTAGTGGTAGTGGTAGTGGTAGTGGTAGTGGTAGTGGTAGTGGTAGTGGTAGTGGTTGTAGTAGCAGTAGTAGTGGTGGTAGTGGTAGTTCTTCCAGATCTTTCATATTAACTGCGGGCTCAGGGGAGCTTATGATATTAAAGTGAATAGCACTGAAACCTAGACCTCAGAAAACTGAAACCGCATCCGTCAAACCTACTGCGTTATGCAGGCAGCCCAAGGGACGAACTTTCGACCAGGTGTGCACGAAGGAGGACTGATGCCAGGGCTCACTGGAGCAATCGCTGGATCCAAGCAGAGACCTCAAGCACGCTTACAAAGAAAAGCCACAAACACCCTTGACGTGAACCCTACAGAAAACAAAGGCGCTTCAGCCTTCCCTGAGACTCGACTCACATCCGAAACTGAGAAACCGTTGAGCCCTTAGCCCATGGAATGCCTGAATCCCCAGAACGGAAACTACAACTCCTGCAGGAAGGGCATCGGTCAGATCAAGCCTGCACTGTTTTGCAGTAGTGTAGGGGTGTGGGGGCCTTAGTACCTAGACCAGATGTTTTTCTCTGGGGGGGCGGGGGCGGGCGGCAGTTCGAACAAAAGTAACACTGAGGAGTAACATTTGCCATTATTCAGGCTTCCATATCTTAAGCCCAGAGCTCGGAACATGCACAGACACTGCAGAGGGCACAGGCCTTCCAGCATCGCGCCTGCCTTAGGCGATTCACTCAGGAACTCGCAGTATTGTTTATCGGCCTCCCGGCATTCCACTTTGTACATTCGTAAAGTACATTAACAGGAACAGCAGTTAATATGTTTAAACTCATGCTAATGGTAACAGTAATGATAATACCCACTACTACTACTACTACTACTACTACTACTACTACTACTACTACTACTACTACTACTACTACTGCTACTGCTACTGCTACTGCTACTGCTACTGCTGCTGCTGCTACTGCTACTGCTACTGCTACTGCTACTGCTACTGCTACTGCTACTGCTACTGCTACTGCTACTGCTACTGCTACTGCTACTGCGACTGCTACTGCTACTGCTACTGCTACTCCTCCTGCTGCTGCTTCTGCTACTAGTAATAATACTAATACTAGTAAATAACAATCGTAGTAATACCAGCAATACTAAAAAAACAAATAATAATGACAATGCCATAGTCAAAAAAAGACAAAGGTTGGTTTTTGCTTTGGGATCTCTTATACAAGCAACAATAATAGTACTACTAATTATCACAATAATACTTTTGAAACATCCAACAACTATTAGGATGCACACTTGATCGCAAAGACACGCCCGGCATTTGGAAGTGCAGCTTAAATTGCGGAGCTTGTGAAGGTGCCTGGGGACTTCATGAGTCGATAGAACCTTTCAAGCCACTCTAACTATCCGACCTGGCTGCCAGGATCAGGACTGCGGTGATCAGCCAGCACGCATTTCGCACGTGTCAATGGCATTGTTTTGCTGAGACCCGCGTGGAAAGCGACTAACCGACCCATGCAGTAAAAACACACATAGTAGCCGTGGATATAATGCACAAGCTCTAAGAACGATAGTACTGCTCAGCTTTCTGGTGTTCGGGAGTTTGAGATTAAGGCTTCGGGGTGAACAATTAAGTTTTCGGTTCCTGGAAATCAGATCACTGTTCATTCATCCTTAGACTGCGTGAGCCCAGAGCACTGGCACCCTTACAGTAACCTTCAGCCCCACACACCATAGCTTGTACACCTGAAGTAATATGGGAGCTGAGCTTAGTAGGATTTTGGATTGTACGCTACTACAAATATATAAAAAAAACGCTTGAGGAATGATCTTAGCATTGATTCCGACCCCAACATTACCCCAAAGCCTAACATCCTTTCTGAAGCAGCGGAGCCACGGACTGCTTCACGGAAAGCCAGTGAGGCCGAATCGACTGGGGAGCGTTGGGCCTGCCTCAGGGCCCACGACGGGTTTCAAAAGGTAGGGCTTTGGTTTACACGTGGGCTTCATAAGCTTTTCCCTTTTGAAGGTTGTATAAGGGTTTTAGGATTATAAGGACCTCAGTACTACTTATGTCTATAAGCTGTCCATGTCACCAATCACTCAGGTGCCAAAATGCTTGTTTGTCGAGCTTTGTGGCGATTGGCGGGCTTGCCGTGCGGCTGACGATTTAGGCTTGCAGCATGATACTCAGAATCCTTGCAGTGATTCCGGTGATTCGGATTCGGCCCGGCATGTGGCGCCGCATGCTCACGGCTGTAAGCTGCACATCGCCGGAGTGTCGCGCAGTGTCGATATCCCTTCGGGTCTAGCCTGTTCCTATGACACCGCCGTCCCAAGAACCTTACAGGGCAACACTAAAAACGAAAGTGGCCAAGCATAGCTAAGCGCAGCCGATCGCGAACTGAGCAAATTCTCCCTCCTGTCTGAACCTATACTATACATTGACCAACCTACCACTTTGGTCATAATTCTCAGATTTGAAACTTGACATGCGATTCGACTTGTACTTTACGGGTATGGCGAAACAGGTTTACTGTAATGTTTGATTCCAGAGACACTTGGGAGTTTCCGAAAATAGGGGACCCTAATATGAGACCCTAAATAGTAGGATCCTTATTATAAGGACCCCAGAATAAGGTACCCCCTCTTTTCGGAAACCCCCACTTGCTGGGAAATAGCCCAAGGCCCCGGCGAGACGTCTACCTCCGCCTCATCCGCATGCCACCAAACCTGCAAACTAACCCTAAACCCTAAACCCTATAAACCCTAAACCCTAAACCCAAGGGGAGTTCTTGTGCTTTGCGTCGCTTGGAATGGTGTAGTTTGAGTTGTTGTTTATGTCGCAGATCATGAAGAACTAGCCCCCCCCCCCCCTCCGGCACGTCCCGCGGTCTCACTCCAAAGGAAAGGATACTAGCATAGGCCCTAAGCTTAGCAATAGCAATTTTACTTACGATATCTTACAATAAGGGACCCTGAAGATTTAGCCTTCTATCTCACCTCCTGCTACTGTTGAGTTCGTAATGATAATCACCCGCCCCCCCCCCCCCCCCTCCGCTCCGCCCGCTATTGAGGGGAGTCCCAGTACTACGACGCTCGCTGACTCTCTTAGCGACTCTGGGAGGGCTGACAGAAAGGCAGCCCGAAGCTCTAAAGCGCTTTGTCTGCGGATGGAAAGTTTCTCTCGGCTCATTCCCTGCCTCAAGCAGATAACAACAACCGACTCTAACAAGCTGGTAAAATTGGGGCGGGGGTGTCATTCTTGAGTTTTCGGCCTCGGGCTTGCTTTAATCCTGGAGGGATTTGTAATTGACGACTCAACATTAAAGCATCTGTCTATTTCTCCAGCCTCGCGTCGGAAGGCTGGGTGAACCCACCAAGCATTGAAGTAGCCACCTTCCCGTCCTTAGGATTAAGGGGTTTGGGTTTGGGGTCCCGTCCTTAGGACCGGAGTGCGAAATCAGGAGATCGTCCCTAACTTGAACAGATGCCCTGCTCTCGTCCGAGACTCGACATTGTCTTGAGCACAGCGACTTGCGCTAGCTTTCCTAGCTCCTCTATAGACTATGCAGGGTATAAAGCATGAGATCAAAAGGATCCTCGTTATACGGACCCTTAAATCCGGTATCCGTGATTCTAAGAACCCCCCCCCCCCTTCAAAAAAAAATGTGTGTGCCGAAGGCTAAGGCAGCTCTGGTGCGAAGGAGATTGGCATCTTCCTCCGACTGGGGCTGAAAGCCTGATGAGCTGTTCGAGATCAGAACTGTGACAAGAACACAAACCACAGTTTTATCCAATTCCCATTAATCATATCGACATATACGAGTTTTCTTACGAACTTCTAACGGCCAGCCTCATTTCGAAACTGGGCTGCGTGGTCGTGCTGGTAAAGGCTGAATATCAGCAACACTGGGTCGAGGCCATTGTCATTGTTCCATGGATCTCCTGCTGAACAGGCCTCGCGCTCGCCCTTTCGCGTCATTTTGCGCGCACAGGCACGCGCCAGTTTTCGGGTGCTTATCCCTCTATAACCACGGACTCCAGAAATTTGCAATATTAAAGAGGAAACTTAGGGGGTTTAAGGTCAAAGGTTTAGGGGCTTAAGGCTAACGGGTTTAGGGGCGCAGCCGGATAGGATGGCTTCAGGGTTATACTTCCTGATACTCTCAGTTTGAGACATCGTGTCATGCGAGTTTTCTGCATGCCCCGATGTAACAATCCCAAGCCTCCCTTCCCAAAAATGCTTGTGGATACGTCCTACAATCGTGCTACAGGAAAGCAACTGCATGGTTCTTGCTATACGAGGCTGAAAAAGGTTTTCACTAATCCGCGACGCAGCGTTGTCAACCCGCTGAATGGTTTGGGGCTTGAGTGTGTTGCTTTCTTCCAGGTCTTGCAGTCAGCTTTGCAGGCTTTCCTCAATTGCCATCTCCACCCAGTGCCTCCATCGACATCCGTCTAGACCCAAAACTCTAGCTTACTACTAGTCATGGTGAGGCACCCATCTTTGGATCGGGCAGCACGATGAAGCCTCAAGTCACCAAAATTACAACAGCGGTTCGGGCTTAGACTTAAGAGTCTGGTGCATTCTGGTGCTGAGAGCTTAGAACCATTCCGGGTTTAGTAGTTCTTCTTTGTATGGAAATAAAGTTTTCCTTCACCCCACACCCCAACACAGGAGATGAACCAAGTCGTCCAGCATCCTAGGGAAACTGAGGGTTAACCTTTAGGGTTGTATAGGCATCGCAATACCCCCAAAAAGTTATAGCTTACCTACCCTACTAGCTACTTGAAGTGATCCCCACGCAGGGCCGGAAGCACCGAAATCCCAAACTCCCGAAGCCGCCGCACCTCGAATCAAGGGGCTTCAGGGAAGCATGTTCAAACCTAAACTCCAAACATCCTCAACTCGGGAATATGATACTAAAACAGCCACACTTCTTGTACCAACATGTAAGATTACAGTACATATACATGCTCGTAAGATACGCAAAACATATAGATATAGAACAGCTGTACGCATGTATGGTCCATACGTACATGTATATACATACATACATACATACATACATACATACATACATACATACATATATATATATATATATATGTTATATGTTTCGGTAAATTTCTTGTATGCAAGATATATACTTATCGAATATTTACCAACGGCCGACACCTAGCGCCCGAAGGACTCTAGACGGAACCTTCTGCTTTGCGGAATTCAGCCGGAGGGAAACAATGGCAATAAGATCAACACAGTGTTTGGGGTTTAGGCACGAAGATGGAAGCATTTATGACAAGAACCGAGGTTCTGGCGCATATTGCGAATTAAGGCGGGATAGAATTCTCATTTTCCACCTCATTATTTCATGACCGGAATACGGTTACTACAGCGACGATTCTGCAAATGCTGCCCACCAATGATCATCATGACACGGATCATTTGGCGCCAATTCAGAGCCGCATATGCGGTGCGGCAATACTGATAGTTGTAACCCAGGTAATCACCGAAATGGTGGCGAAAGCAAGAACGACGGAAACAACGTTCATATCGCACTAGTACAGACCATTCTCGTCGTAGTGCTAGCTAGTGACAACCACGTGCGAGTGCGCTCTGCGGACACCGAAGGATTGGGGCAGTCTGGAAATACAGCTTGGTAAGATGATGTCCCCCAAGCCTGGACGCTTGTCGATGCATAAGATAAAACAAACGATACGAGACATTGGTACTGTCCTAGATCCTTACATAACCCTTTAAAGTACCGAAGCTGGAGACAAGCGCATCTCAGACGCTCTCGGTGGCGAGCACGAAACGCTTGAGGAGGTCGGGTCCCAATTTCCGGTAAAGCCCTCAGGGGTTTCTAGGAGTCAGTGATGAATCAAAAAAATCAAGGGTTGGATGTTCCTTCTAGTGTGGCGACTATAGCAAGCTTCCTCGTGTTGGAGGCTGTTTGAGGTGCCACCGTTTAGGGCTTTGGGCTGTGAGTTCGCTGTCGGGACTCTGGTTTGGCGGATTTTTCAATCTCGAGACTAGGGCTTTTGTTGTCACGACTGGGGTTGCAACCTCCCATGACAGGAATCGCCATTAGCCGGGGCTCATATTCTATGTCTTTCTGGCACACTCCGAAACCCTGAAGTCTGTCAAATTCTTTGCACAAGGGCCGAGGAAGTTTAGCCTGCAATGCTCGGCATGTAGTGGTGAGGCATGTCTCATGCTCATACTGATTCTTAAACTGATATTAAAGCTAATAACAATAATCAAAAAAGAATAATGCAAACACCGCTAATAATGATACCAAAAAAAGAAGAATAGCAATGACCTTATATTTCAGGATTTGAAACAAAAACAATAACAATCACAAACATGACAGTACTAGAAACAAACTAGTGCTAGGTGCTAGTCGTACAGCAAGCCGATCTTCTCAGGACCTGCTTAGATCGTCTAAGTTCTTCCTAGCTCCGCAAGTTTCGAGATTCAGGGATGCATGTTGGCGTCGGGGATTGCGGCTTCGATGTAGAAATGAAACCACATGCAGAGACACAGAAGTGCATTCGAGAAGCGAATCAGCGCAGAGGTGCCATTGAACTCGCCGACGGTAAAATTCCTCATGCAACTGAAATACGATGAAGACCCTAAATCCCAAGTAGAGAACCCGGCGGAAGGCTGTGCGCGCTATCCTCCTCTACTTTGTGGTTCTTGAGGGCTTGTCGTCGTCTGTGTGAGAGAAACATCCCTAAACCCTGAACCCCTTAAATCCTTCTTTTGGCTGCTTGTCACCATTTTTGGCCACTTAACTAGCTAAACCCTAAACCAAGCTCACAACGCTAGAAGTTCTTGTCTACAGCTGCGTGAAGTCTCACAGCTTGGACAGATGAGGTGTCCTACGTCTTCGAGAGCTCCAGCTAAACAGCGCTGGGATTTCTGTTCGAGATATGCTAGTCTGTGTGAGTGCATGTAAGTATGTGCGGATGTATGTGTGCATGTTTTTTTGAACAAAACAAAGTAAGTAAGTGAGTGAATAAGTGAGCAAGTGAGTACGCATGCATGTCTGCCTGTCTGTATACATATATATATATATATATATGTGTGTGTGTATGTATACATACACACACACACATATATATATATATATATATATATATACACACATATATAACTACATGTGCATAACCCTGTTATGGTAGCTTACATGAACAAAATGACATATCATCAAAGCTCCTTATCCAGGACATCCAGCGACACAGGAAGGACGCATTTTGGCACCGCGGCTTCCCCGGCAAGCGCGTATTTACCAACAGTCCGATGTAAGAATAGCTCGCACTTCAGTTCGGGCTCTGGGCTCTCCAGCAATTCTCAATATAAGGTGTCATGGACATGTAGCCGTCCCTGCGCAGCTGAGCAGCGCGGGCCCGCAAAATATCCACATCCTCCTGCTTCAAGCCTTCAGCAAGCCAGCTGTTCCTGGCGTGGTGATCACTATCGTACTGGATGCGGTCCGCCACGTCCGGCAGTGCCACGCAGCTTATATTGGTAAATAGGGCTGCAGAAGCTTTTAATGCTTCAAGGGGCTTTCTTGGACATGGAACTGACAATGAGCCGGCCTTACACTGGCCAAGGGGTCGTATAGCAGCAACACGCAACTTCCCGTGACCTCGGTGAAAGGTTCCGTCATGAGGAAACCAGCAGCCCGACCCCTGCTCTCGGGGAATGCAGTACTTCTGGGCATACACAACAGGACCGTCCGTGATGTAGGTGAAGATGTCGAGAGTGATTGTCGGATTTCTCCTGGCGCACATCAGCACATCGTCGTGCGCATTGGCCCATGACCAATAGGTCTCACGCGTCGAGCGCCGTCCAATGCAAGAATGCCACCCTCGCTCCACAAGCTTCTTGTGAATGGAAGCACGGATGGATGGCCACTCTTGGAGGGAAGGCAAAGCCAGCATCACATCAACGTCATGGTCAACAGCGTCAACTTTCCCGTTCGACAGCAAGCCACTTCGCTTTCCGTGCCGCAGCAGAGCGATCAGCGTCCCACGAGAAGGCCACCACTCCAGCTGCAGCTCCTCGAAGACGGCTTTTGCATCTGCCAGTGCCTGGGTATGGGAGTCGTCTGTGACAGTGATCTCGGATCCCCAGTCGGTATAAAAGGCTTTCTCGTCGTCTAGAGTCGTAGTCAGCCTCTTCATCGTCTGCCTGTAGATCTGCACAGCACCTTTCACCGGCCACCCGTGCTGGGCATCGAAATTGCATTGTGACAGTGCTTCCTGAAGTCTCTTTTCTTCCCAGCGAATAGCATGCCAAATGTTCTCCTTGTCGTTCTGGGTAAACGGAATGCTCTCCAATGTTGCGCCCCACTGTTGGATCTCCCATGTCGAAGACACAACAACAGCACACGGGCAGGCTCGTGGCAGCAAACGGCTACTCAGCTTAGACACCTTCTTTGCACCAATGTTCAGAAGCTTTTGGCTAGCGATGTCGCCCAATTTGTGCCTGATTTGCTTTCTTGACAGCATCCAAAAGCCAGTCAGGTTCACTCCGAGGCGCTTCCCGGCCAATGCACATCCGGGGGAGAAGGCTGCACGAGCACCCACGGTCAGCAGCAAACATGGCAAAACGATGCCGAATGATCCCATCAGTCAGGAACCCACGAACCACAAACCCGGAAGCTTGAACAAACTCTCTGCCCTCAGCGGGGTGTGTCGGACAGCTGGCATCTACAATTATGGTTACTACTCACTCAAGGGTCAATTCATGACAAGGCGCAACTTTTTTAACCTCCTAACACCTAAACCCCAAACCCATCTTCCTCAAGCTAGTCTCAGCACGGCAGTCTGGAACTCTCCTCGACTCATGGGCTTCAAGAAAACAAAAGTCTGAGGAGGTTTGTGAAGTTCGTGAAGGGCTTCAAGTTCAGATGTTTTCATGGCATAGCAGAGATTCAGAGAGGCATCAAACCATAAACCCCAAACTTGGGGCCTGACGGCCATAGATCCACCCCCAATACCGTGTACGATCGCCTAAATTCCAACAAGTAAGCGGTAAGGAGCATCAAAGCGCAGTGGAGGATACTTAGTTACTGGGCGGGGGTCCTGATTCAGAGTGATTCTTCAGCCAACTCCCAAGAAGCCAATGTTTGAGAGAAGGCGACTGTTTGGAGTCTAAGGTTTGGGGTGCGGTTTAGGAAAGAGGGGTTACAGTTGGCGGCGCAGTGTGCAGGGCCACACAACACCTGTACTCACAGCCAAGCCGTCAGTCTGATCCAAGGGCCTTCGAGTTTAGGGCTTGAGGGGTTAGGGCTTAGCAGGGTGTAGGGCTTGAGGGTTGAGTGTGTGCGGCATAGCGCGGCCTTGTTTGGGACATAGTCAAGGCTAATTACTACTTTGCGGGCTTCTGCCTCTAAGGCCCAACCTCAAGTGAAGCAGGGGCTGCTAGTAATCGGTTCCCCAGACTGCAAAATGTAACACCCGAAATATGCGCACTCACCAAGGAGCCCTACATGCACCCACTTCTAAAACTTCAAGCGGCATCACAGATGCCCCCTAAACCCTATAAACCCTGCTCTCGAGCTTCGACAGCGGGCAGCTCATGTAGAAAGGCTGCAGGATCGACTGGTAGGCCTCTGCCGACTCGACCATGGAGACCTCGGAGCCAAAATTTAACCGAACACCTGGGCTTCTCGCTGGGAAATTACACCAAACCCAAATCCAACGTAGGGGCCTTCGTAAGTAGAGTAGGGTTTGGGGGTATATTATACTTAAATCATAATGAGGAACCCCCAAATTCTTAAAAGCCCCTTCATTACACCTCAACCCTGAACCCTGTAAACTCTAGACTCTAAACTAACCCTGAAAAATCCGAGCCGGCTCCCCCCACCCCCCCGGGCAGCGTTGGAGACACGTCCTTCGCTCACAGTGTCCTAGCTGCGATTTTAAGGTAGGGCTGACCGTCTGGGTTGAGGAAGCTTCAGGTTTAGGGTTTTAAGGCTTTAGAGTTTAGGGTCTAATTAGCGGTTGAGGCTACATGATTCGAAGGTCTGGTTTCGTAGTACGAGTTACCACTCTGGTTGGCATATATATACATATATATATATATATATATTTATTTATCTATTTATTTATTTATTTATTCGAAACACTAAACCACTAAACCCTAAGACCCTTAAAACCCTTGACTGGTAGGATATCCTTTTGGCTGTAGCCTTCGGAGTATATCGTCTACACAGGCCCTAGACCCTCGTCCGCCAGATGTTGTGTAGGCGTTGAAGAGGATGCATTTCATTGGAGTACTGCCTCACGTCTACAAGAGAGGACGGTTTCCGGGGGGAGGTACCCTAAACCCCAAATCCAATTGACCCTTTGAGGGGTCCGTTAAGGGTTCTATATTGGGGTTCCCTTTAATGTGTCCTGTAGGGTTCTATAAGCAAGGCGAAGGCTGAAAGTTCATTCGGCCAGGAAGCGGGATCTTGAAGGTGCAGTTGCAGATCCTCCACGCAGATCTCCTTCCAGGCACCGCCAAACTTACCTTTGGTTAGTAGGGGAATGGAAGAATGGTAGTAATAGTAGTTATAATTGTACCCCATTCCTCCATTCCCTACCAACCAAAGGTAAGTCCAGGCACCGCGAAAACGAAGCCGAAGCTGTGGAAAAGTAACACTTGAGACTTCGCGCGGGATGCGAACCCTACGCCCGCATAACCTTGGAAATCTACATTGTAGGTCTATGACTTTGTTTGCTGATACGGAAATTATATTAAGAAATACAATTAAAGTGATAAGCGCTCGACATGGAACTAGAACGCCAGGATGATACATCTGCAGATTGTGTAAGCAGCCCGTGCCCTTGGCGATGGATACACCCCGCATGAACCTAACTCGATTTAGGGGCCATGGATGTTTAGGGCTTAGCCCTGGATAGTCTTTGAGTTCTGTAACTAAGAAGTATTTGCGTCTGGGAGCGATCTGAAAGAATGAGCCCAAGGGCCTTCCAACGCCAACCTGACATCCTCAATGTGAACCTTAGACCCTCATCGACCACCTGACCAACGTGCAAAACGCTGAACCTTGAAGCGCTCAACCCCTCACCGATAAACTCGCTTGAGCATGCTTCAGTTGCCTGGGTCCTACAGTGGCAAGATACGCCGAATCGCCAAGCTCTAATTAGTTTAGGTTTTCGGGTTGGGGTCAGAGTTTTCGGGTGTAGACTGCCTGCAGCAAAACCGTTGCCACCTGTTCCCCGACCGGCTGCGTCAGCCACAGGGTCCTACGCACCCCGCAGTACAAAAACGTATCTACGGTCATTGGTGTCCGTAACCCTCATAGGTCTAGTACTCTCGACCCTCTTTGGAAAACCAGCTCATGCATTGTGAAGGGAATGTGCGTGTGCCATGTGCCAATTCTGCACAGGAACCCCGACACATCAAAAAAACAATACCCTAAATAGTCTACCCACACAAAGGAGTAAACCTCTAAACCTTTAAAATTAAGCCCTGCGCCCCTGAACTCTCAAATGGTGAACCCTAAGGACCGCACCCCTCTACCCGATAAAACAACCCTAAAACCCCCAAGCCAGGAACCATTACAGTAGCCCCCCAAACCAACAACCCAAGCCCGAAACCCGAAACCCCCGACTAGACCCTACCCTAAGCACCTAGACGCCTCAAGCGTAAATTCCTTCCTCGCCTCTCTGCAGACGGGACAGCGGACGCGCAGCTGGCCCAACCGCCGCAGCAGCTGCTCATCAGAAGGCAGTGCCTTGGTAGCAGTCTCCTTCCTGGCCAAGAACCCATCAGGAAGCCTACTTGAGGCCCCCTAGACACCCTAAACCATAAACCCTAAAAACTAAAACCTAACCCCCCCGATCTTGTCATCTTAGTCTATAGTATACTGGTTGTTAAGTAAATTTGTATGTCCTTTCATGACTGTCCGAGGCTTCTGCATTTGCACGACATGCTGCAACGTACCGCAAGGTCCTTTGACGCCTTGTAAGATTCAAACATCCTCAGAAGCCGTGGCCCAGAACCCCCTAAACCCTAAACCCCAAACCCCAAACCCAAAACCCAAAACCCTAAGTTCATTCCTAAACCCTTCAAAACCCCAAAAGCCTGCAAACGCCAAACCCTGAACCGTTTTACCATGAATCCTTATTGCTCTAGTCTAGAGTCCGCTTTGCCCTGAGTGAAACCACAATCAACCATAGACCACTGAGATCATGGGCCTTACAAGCGGTCCGAATATTTGGCACCCCTTACTGTAGTCTACCCCAAGACCTAGTTGAAACTAGTCTGGCCCCTAGAATATGAAGAAAGCCAAACCATAGAAGTGATGATAACAAGTGGAACCAGAAAAGAAGTTGAGACTCTCTGATGCTAGGGGGACACACATGCAAAGTCGCTGTATGACGGCAGGAACCGAGAACCGTGCCACAAGAGGTTTGGACTCGCACACTCGCGCGAAGGCAGGCACGGCTTGTAGAGGGTCCAACTTGCGAGCACGAGGGGTTTAGGGCTGAGGACAGCCAAGTGCTCAAACATCTGCAAATCCCATAGTGGCGTCGATGATCAGACCTACGAATTTGCCAGCGAAAAGCAACAAAAGTACCTGAAGTTAGAGATCGGGTCAAATACTTCTCTGCACGAAGAGCTTGCCGTTGGGGCTCACCCAGCCTTTGCTTCTCCGCTAAGGGTTTCTTAGGCGGTTTAGGGCTTCAGGGCCTTATGGTTGCCCATAGACCCTACAGCAAAACCTACAATGTGCAAGATAAGCCCCATGAGCCAGCGTCCAGGGTTATGTTTCTATTCTGTTTTGCAGCCCGTGTGCCGCGAATCGAGTCACGATCTGGCCATCCAAGGGGCAATTCGCACGGCCTGGAAACGGATCGGCATGCCCTTTTATCGGGAACTTCATGATCAACATAGAATTGCAGTGTGGATACTCGCAATCTTATACAAGCAAGGAGCCCGAAGGAATCGTAGTACTTTTGCTTCGGGTTCCTATGGCAGGAATGCTACTCTGGCATAAGATGTGGATCTTCATGCATTACCGGTCTAGTCTCGGAGCTGGACTACCATTTCCTCTTGAAAGTCGCGTGGATGGAAACAGCTGTAGTCTCCCGTACGCGAAACAGGACTAATCCCTTGCAAGCTTTGTTTGTGCTCCTGCTGCGGTCTTTTGCTCTCGCTCCTGCGCCTGCTCTTGCTCCTGCTGTTGCTCTTACTCTTGCTCTTGATTTTGCTCTTTCTCCAGCTCTTGCTCCGGACCCCCTATTGCAAATGAGGTTTTAAAGGGCAGGGGTGATTTCGGGAGGATTCGCCCCAATGTGCTTTTATTCTTAGGGGGGGTGTTGAACAAAAGGGGGAAGTGATTGGTAAAAACCGCTTGGGAAACACAACGAACATTCTAGTCGCAGGAGTCTTGGGCCTGAAGCAGTAGACCGTAAAGTAAAAGCCAGAAAGTTGGAATATGATTATCCTAAACCTTCTATGGTAAATTATAGGGTATCCTACCATGAAACCATATTCCAACTTTCTGGAGTTGACCGTAGGCCTTTCTAAGCTGCCAAGCTGAAGCAAAATCGCCTGTCCCTCGAGCAAGAAGAGCACGGATGCAGCTGCTGCAGAAGTGGTGCCCGCACCTTGCAGATTTGGGGGAGTTTCCCAAAATTAAGGGTACCATATTTTGGGGTCCATACAATAAGGATCTTACTATTAGGGGTGCTATGTTAGGGTCCCTTGTTTTCGGAAACTCCCATTTGCCATTTGCCACGTGCGGCCGCCCAGCGGAACCCAGGCACCCGTGACACTGAACGGAAAGACGAGCTTCAAGATTCCCACAGCTGCTGGTCCCAGGCACGGAATCTGGGAAGGATTCTGAAAGACATCACCACAGAGCGTGCAATTCAGATCATCCGGGACAGCCTCGAGAAAACCGCGGTTTCGACTCTCACAGGGAGACTCTCGGTTTCGATCGGAGCACTATAAGGAAATACTGAGACTGGGATTCGGGGGTTTGGGAGCCTCTCAAACCATAAAGAGCATTTGTGAACCTAAGGAAGACTATGGAGGAATACGATTACCTATTCAGGGGTTAATGCTTACATGGGCTGCGTCGTAGGGTGGGAGCGTCAGGATGTCGAGTGACAGTCGGGGTGAGGGGCATGCGCTAGGGCCGCTCGTAGAAAGTCGGTTCTTTGTTTTCAATTGCTGCGGGTAACGTTCCTTTCGCATGAGGTGTCATCTTCCAGAGGTTGAACACACAGACACTGCCGCAACCAACGCAACGATACCAGAAACAGCAACCAACCCCTCTGTTTCCTCCAAACATTAGAAGCCTAGCCTAGCACGTCGGTTGCAAGCTTCGAAATGGCATTTACTGGGACTGAGAAGCAAGAAATTCTGCAGCGCAGTCGGTGGGCAAACTCAAATTCAGATACGGCATCTAAGCGGATGGTTCATGACTCAACCAGCGTAAAGCCCGACAATGCGATCATTGTAGACCACTGTCGCGCCCATCCTTATCTGGGGTTCCATGCTACTTTGGGAGGGTTTGTTAGTCTAAAGAGCGAGGAGGGCCCAGCAGTCCCTTTCCTTAAACTCTGAAACCAAAGCCCCGAACCTCAAACTCCCACACCCCCAAGAAGACCCTCTAATATCCCATGCAAAACCCTCAGAGAACTCGTCAACTGCCACCCCCTCAATCGCATTCATAGCCGTCACTTACCTGAGACCCTGAATCCTGCCTACCCTATGCCCCGGACACCCCTCTTCTGGCAGACCATTCAACACAACGTCGGCCCGATGAACCTGCGTGTACTCGTAGATGTGCCTCTCAGGCCTAGTCAAGGTTGCAAACCTCAGGGACGTGAAATGGTTTCAGGGTTTCAGCACTCACACTCGGAGGTTTAGGGGTTTTTGACGCTCACACGCAGCAGGCAAGGCTCCACATAGGCCACAGGATCTCCACTGACACCGATAGCCGACAGGTATCGAGCTAGTATCACAATGAACGAACAAATCAATTCATGTTTAGTTCACGACACCTACAGGGCGCCTTCATAAGTAGAAACGTGTTTTGGGGTAGGGAAGAATATTGGCAATGGCAATTACTTCGGCACCCATATGCCGCAGTCCCAGTTGCTTGCTGGCCCCTTGGCTGCCATGAACCTTGGAATGAGGGCCCTAGCAAACACATAAGCATAAACTACCGATGGCAAGATCAGGGTGTAGGGCGGGTTAGGGTAGGATTTTGGGCCAAGTGAGTTTTTGTCGGTCCTTGAATGTCCCTGAAGGGTGCAAACCTGAAAGCAGGAGTTCGGAGAAAGCCCGGGCAATGCTGCAATGTCCAGAGAGCCCATCAGGCTTCGTTCTTATGTAGATCTGTACCTGCCCAAATCTACCCGTCTGCAACATAGGTACACTCTGTGCATACACAAACACAGACATACACACATGTGTATACATATGTATATATATATATATACATACATACATACATGCATACATACATACATACATACATACATACATACACGTAGGCATGTATGGATGTACGGATGTATGTACGTATGTACGTATGTACATATGCACACGGACATATGCACATATCTGATGTGTGTCTGTGGGCGTATGGGTGCAAACATACGATCATCCATCCATACATACATAAAGACATACATTCATACATTCATGCATACACACGTACATGCATACATACTTACATAGACTTTATAGCTGGCGCATGCACCAGCTGCCTACGAGCCTCCTGCTGAAACCAGTGGAGACCACCGTAAGCCGTTATGAAATCCTCTGTGCAGCCAAATCACATGGCCACAATCCGGACACTGCTCCAAGTGCACCTTAGCTTCTGCGATCCAAGATGTCCCTGAGCCCAAAACTCTAAACCCTAGAACCCTCAAAACCCCCCCCAAACCTAGCTCAAAACCGCAGACCCCACAGAATCAGCTCCACAGCCGCTGCCCTGTAACTTCCCCAAGCCCATGAGTGGGGTTCAGGGAAGATTCGGGCCTAGGGGTTCAGCACAAACTCTCGGAGGGTTTAGGGTTTCGGGCCAGGGCTTAAAAGGTTTAGGGCTTATAGGGATTAGTCGTTCACTAAAGTCGGGTCCCCTTTGGGGTCCTTTTTATAAGGGTGCCGTGACCGAAGAAGCGACCCTAATTTAGCGAGCTACATAAACCGAAGATACTAAAGCCTCACAAAACCAAGGTTATGGTTCAGGGATTAAGGTGGGATTCAGGTTTAAGGATTTAGATTTTGTTTAGAGGTGTGTAGGTTTGGGGTGTTTAGGGAACTACCAAACTAGACTAAGGTTTTGGAAAGCACTAAAACTACCCCGCAATCCCCTAAGCCCCCCGCGCCTTAACCCCTCAGGCCCTCAGTGCGACCGACCCATAGGGCCCCCAAAAAAAAGCACATAAGCAAAGATAAAGATAAGGATATCCCACATGAACCCCCTTATAATGGAGCCCAATAAGGTAGGGATATCCCCATGACATGCTTATGCACATGTGTGTTTTTTGGGCCCCTAAGACCCAAGCCCCTCAATACTGCAAAGTCACGCGCCAAAGATCCAAAGCCGCAATCTCCTCACGCTCACTTCGCGGATCCTGCGAACTCCGACGGTGACTTTGTTTCCCGAGAGGTAAGTCCTAAGTTTAATCCTCTTACCCTAGAAACCAGCCCTATAGCCTATAGACCATAAACACCATTCTCTGCAAGGGAGGAGTTGTAGCTGTAGGAAGTGGAGGGCTTTGGCGCATGAAGACAGTGAAAGGCTCATCAGGCTTCATGTTGAGGACGCGCGTCTGTTCAAGCTCCACAGCCCTAGACCCTAACCCCCCTATAACAAGCCCTATGGCACCTTTAACTCAAAAACCCCACATGTATTAACCCTGAGCCGGGTTTAAGCTCGTGGTCTCTGGAATGCAGCTGGAATCTTGGCGCGTGGTCGGTGGGAAATCCGAAGCTGGTTTAGACTTTTAGGGCTTCATTACGCCGGCTTCTAAATTTAAGTTTGGGGTTGCAGATCCACAAGCCTCCAACCCCAAATCCAACCACCTGTGCCTGCACTATTAGGACGCTAGGCTCATACACCCATGCTCTTGTGCACGAACCTGAAACCCTAAACCCTGAATTCCTAAATGCACCGCGAGCCACTCCCACCTAAGCTTCGTCACCAAGCGCCAGAAGCAGCACATGCGCCAGCGATGTCTATGAGGCAGGCCGACTGCTGAACCCTAACACCCCGAAGCCTCTTCAAAAGTCTCGCAAACATCCCCGAAGCCCTAAGCTTCTCCTTACCTTTGGTTAGTAGGGAATGGAAGAATGGTAGTAATAGTAGTTATAATTGTGCACCATTCCTCCATTCCCTACTAACCAAAGGTAAGGTCTCGCGTCCTGAAATAAAGGATTTGCTGGCGATGCTCCGCTCGGAGTGCAGTCGCCCAAGGCTCTCCTGGCCCTTGGCTGAAAGTATGTGAAAAAAGACACAGGATTATTTCATTGAGTGCCTCATTGGGATTGTGCCTTAGTTGTTCGGGGTGTGAGGTACAGGGGTATCAAAACACACACGTGAAGTTGACGGACGCAGGGCTGGAGGGTTCAAAGTTCGACATTGTAGGGATCGTGTTCGCTACCGTTCTTGACTGAGCCCCCTCGTGCTACATTTCCTCTACCATGTGTCTTCAAAGTGCACAAAACGACATATATTTTCCTCCGTTTTTTTGTTAATGTTGTGATTCATAACGGTCCTTACGCAAACGAATACTAAGATATGCCCGCAAGAAGCTCCTTTCCAACTGTCTGCGCCCCCTATGAATTTACATTCTGAGTGCCGCTGAAGATTCAGGGCAGAAAGGGTGTGCTCAAGGTCTACTATGTGATGCATGTCGTCTGACTGCTTAAAGAAATGAAGCCCCCGTTGGATCACTAGTGACTAGTGTAGTATATAACATACCCCCCAAAACACTACAGTGATTATCGATAGTCGTGTGTTAATTTGGCCGGCGGCAGCAACTCGAAAGCAACAGGGTAGCTTGTACAATGGAGACAAAGCTTCGTCGGGACAGAGAGCTGGTCCGGCTGAGTCTGCTGGACCATGGCGGCATGTCGGCCGCTCACGAAAGTCCCGCTTGGTGGCTCTCGTGTTCGGCGGTCAATGATTTCAGCACTCGCAACTGGGACATGCCGGTCAATGGTTTAGGATTCGCGGTGCTGCCGGGCTGAGCATGCACGCTTAGTGAGGAATTCCAACTGATCTGGCTCTGTTGAGAAAATGTCAACTGCATCCTGGCGCATGGGGTGGGCTATCAAAGACAAGTGGGCCAAGACCACGAAGATTGAATCCAAGGGACGAGCTTGCATTTTGAAAGGGGATGTCTGGACACTTGCAAGATAAAGTAAGCTGGCAGTTGACAAACCCCTCTCAATTGACAGAGTCGAGTCCGGAAACTCAATCATCAACTCGATCCCCAAAGCTCAAAAATAATCCCATCCCTGCTACAGAAAAACCACCGAGTTTTTGGAGTGAGTTACCCTTGCCTGTTTGCTTCCATTAGAGGCAGGACCGAGCGGAGAGAAACTGCACTATTGTGCTGCCGTACTACTACAACTACCGACCCCCCTCTCAATAGTCTCGTCATCCGACCCGGCGCGGGCCGTTTACCAGTAGCGACCTCACATTACATGGGAAAGTTCGCCACACACCAGTGCTACACCACAAACGATGCCCAAGCTAGTAAGACTGCAAGGTGAAGCTGCGAGAAAGTCGCCAGGTACACCCAGACACACTGCAAAGCCGGACGCGCAGAAAAACAAACACAAAGCAAATATGGCCAGACATGCCGCACTGCCGCACTCAAAACCCGGGCCGTGAGTACTCAGTGGAAGTCGGACAGGAACACCTTGTTTCGCCGAAAACTCTGTCTAACTATGAAGGCCACGTATGACACCATCCAGCATGCTCCGTGCTTTTGTTTGCAAATACCCTTGTATCCCTCGTTCCTGTTGTTGTCTGAGGTGGTCATGGTCATGTTGCCGAAGCTGCTGCTGTTGCTGTTGTTCTTGCTGTCGTTGGCATTTTTGTTGTTGCCGCTGTTGCTGTACATGGTAATGCTGCTCCTCATCCTCTTCTCTCCCTGCCTCGTCCTGCTCATCCTCCGCCTACAGCTGGTGGAATGACGAACATGATTATCCGGGTGGCTGATATGGACAGGGAGGCTATGAATTGCCCGTGGCATACTTGTGAACTAGGCTCTCGTGCAGGGGAGAAGACGCGCAAAACACTCTTTGGCTGCCATGCCCGAAGCCGCAGTCTGCCTGTACCTGCGCAGGGCCAAGACATCTGACTTAGTTTTGGAGGGCATACCAGGCATGTGAATGCTACCTCCATGTCTCTGCAAAGCCTGGTCTGCACAGAAAGCAACGCACGTCAGCGAAAAGGTCAGGATTGGGGACTCGCGGCTAGTCAACATGCAAGCTGCTTGACGAAATTGCAAGGATCCTGAAGCTCGTGCTTGACCACCAGCTTTCCACACATCATCATGACAGGTAGGGCCTATGGGGCTGTTTTTAGAATGTTCGGGGTCAGGATGCTGATCTAAACCATAGGCGCGAGTTTTCGTGACTGTGACTACTACCATGCCGCTCTTCCACCAGGACCAGGGATAACCGGATAACCTATAAACCCGAATAGTTGACGTCCAGCACCGAAGACCCTATTGGGGCAAATCTGCCTGCGCCAGCCGTCCATTGAACTCCAGCAGCACCGGCTGTGGTAGTTTCGCGAGGCGGTCGTACGTCACCAGGCCATTGATTTCCTTCACCAGCAAAGGGCTTCCAGTTGACCAGTAATTACCACTACCAATTACTACTACTACTACTACTACTACTTCTTCTTCTACTACTACTACTACTACGACTAGTTGGTAGTAGTACTACTGCTACTCCTTGTCCTCCTCCTCCTGCTCCTAATACTATATACTGTTACTACTGCTACAGCTGCTGCTACTGCTACTGCTACTGCTACTGCTACTGCTACTGCTACTACTACTACTACTACTACTACTACTACTACTACTATTCCTACTACGACGAGTGGGGCTACTACTCATCAGGCAGTGAACTTGAGGTTGGGTGGGGCAGGTATCCCGGCGTCTGAGCTGCAGCATCAATCCAGTTCCTTGAACCAGGTAACCAGGAGCTCCTGGCCCAAACCCTCAAAGTCAAAGTCCTAAGTCCCTGTGAATCCCAGAGGTAATCCTGAGAGAAGGCCCTAAGTTCACAATCCGAACCACAAAGGTCGATCCCAAGCCATGAAAGCTGCGCTCCAATGCTGCATGAAGTCCTTCAGTCCTGACGAAGCCCACAGGGACTGCTTATGCCCTAAACCGGATGCTCGAAATCCCGACAACTCTACTAAACTAAACCTCTCTCCAAATCAGGTATTGCGGAAACTTGTGAGCCCCTCGAGACCCACTCAGCCGTGCGAGCTGTGCTGCCTCTTCGATGTCGTTCCACTGCGTGTACACCTTCAAACTCAAGGCTTCAGTCACCAGGCATCGCTTGGAGTTTGTTGCCTCAAGCGCTGCCGAGCCGAGTCACTAGGAAGTACCAGAAAACACACAGGTAATCCGCTACGTAGTTACTACCATCACTCTGCGTCTAGAGCTCCACGACCCCCAATGCCAAACACGGCAGACAAGAGTACAAAGACCCTCACCGTGACAATAAAAGTATCATATATGGAAGTTTCCAAAAATTGGGGATACCTTATTTTTGGGTCCTTATACTAAGGATCCTACATTTAGGGTACCATATTAGGGTCCCTTATTTTCGGAAACTCCCATATGGACCCGACCCCTGTACGGGGCTTCCGTATTCGCCCGAGACGCAACAGCAGAGATCCAGTTCTCGCAGAGCAGCGCCTGCAGTGGGCGAATCGACCCAAAAACCCGAGCATCAGTGTATAGTTTAGGGTTTAGGGGTTTATAGGGTTTAGGGTTAGGCCCCCGTTTTGAGACGCCATCTGCTTCAAGCACCAAAGTGGTGAGATCCCTGTTTCGCCATGCTCCATAAACGGACTATCCTATTTGCAACTGGCTTGCAACGTCACGCCAGCACGGCTGACTCCTGCCGGGGCCTACAAACCCTAAGATACACAAGACCGTAAATCCAAACGGAATTGCCGCTTCGACCCACTGCTGCAGCAAAGCCGGCCTGAATAAATACAATAAGAGGTGTCAAGGTATACTCAGCATAACTATAGTAAGGAAGCCTAAGGGATATTACCGGTGATTCTGGGGCCTCTACATGCATTACCAGTACCACGATCACCGCCCTACAACTGCAAGCATTGCGTGTCCCCTACTGCTTTTGCTAGCGGTGGTGTGCTTATGTCTTCTATGCTCTTGGCTCACGATGCCGCGAATCTTCAATAGGCTTTTGGGTCAGGATGTCGAGGCGGGCAGCCCCGAGGCTTGATAACTCAACACTTGGGCACCGTACCGCAAAGCATAAACGCTGCGCCTGTCTCTCTGTGTGGGCACATGTGTGTGTGTGTGTGTGTATATATATATATATGTATGTGTGTATGTATGTATGTCTTCAACCATGTGGAATGCCTCTAGGCGAAAACCCAGGTCCAGGAACTTGATGGCAAAGTCCTCGCGAAGTCACTGTCAAGGCCGCATTAAGGCTGGCGGGTCGGATGATTGCAGCACAGTTCGGGGGCAGGTGTTGTCCGCGAGAGTCACATGGGAGTTTCCGAAAATAGGGGACCCTAATGTAGTACCCTCAATCGTATAGGATCCTTACTATAAGGACCCCAAAATAAGGTACCCCTAATTTTCGGAAACTCCTAGATGTGGAATATCGGGGAGAGTACGGTACCTGTCTTCTCCAGAGTTCCGACTGCTGCACCATACGCCTCTAGCGTGCCGAAACCTACAAATGGGCCTTCGTAACTCATTCGAGTATAGTTATGACAATGTAGTTCCACTCCTATTAAGGCCCCCGCACGAACTGAAGCCCCAAACGTTTTTCAGCTCGAACGCTTGAAAACGGAAGCCTCAAGCCAGCCGTCACACAGTTTGGAAGCCTGGTGTAGGGCCAGGGTTTAGATTTAAGCTGTAATATGGAGTACAGTGTTTTTGGAAAGTATTCAGTTCGAAGAGAGAGATGGTAATGTTATATCTTCGGGCACCTATTGGGTATTTTGGAAGGTCTCGTCTCTTGCACGTGTCCTTGGAGCTGTGGCTCACATTCCTCGGGAGAAGGCTGTAGAAAAAGCGCTCTGAAACTGCATGCCGATAAGGACCATGCCAGCATTGCACGATCCACAAAATTGCGGAGTCCGGATCCAGGCGCAGTGTCTTGCATGAAGCTCATGCAGTGACAACACTTCAGCTCCCGAATGCGCCAGGGTCAAAGATTGAATCTCGATTCCCCATTGGGCATCGGTATCGATCTATCTATTTGTGTACAGGTGTCCGTATATAAATACAAGTATCAAACATGATCCACAAACTAAAAACTACATATAACTACTCGGATAGAAAAATGCATAAACATAAGTATACATAAATACAGATATCTGCAAATACAAATATTATGCATAAATATCTATGTATATATATATGTATATGTATATGTATTTGTATTTGTACACTTACGTATTGATGTGTGTAGTTGTATTTCTGTTTATGCTTGTTTGCATGCGTATATAGACACATATGTACATATGTATATATGTATGTACGTAATGTATGCATGCATGCCTGCATGCATGTACATATATACACACATAACTATTTGCGTATTTCGCTGCTGTTAGCTATAATAGATGACTAACTCCAAAACCGCCAAAGGCCTGAATACGCCGACTGAAAGACCGAGTTTTAAAGATCCCCAAAGCCCAGGCGCCCATAGGCCCAGGACGTCTCAGGGGACCACTCGTGGCCCTGCAAGGGTCCATGTAAATAATCTCGATCCCTTCAACCCTAGACCCTTGAAAAGACCACCACCGTGAAACAAGCATCAGGATCGCGTGCCAGTGAGAATAAAACTCGCTTTGAGGGAGCGGTTCAGGAGGGTCTGAGGAATTCAGGCTTAAGTCTTCGGGATCATCGGGCTAGCCTTGAGGGCCTATGCTTCTCTGGAAGGTCCAGGGTCTGAAGTGGGTAGATATGGGTGGGGGTTGCAAGTTTTGTATTGGCTTCAGTGGTGTCAAACACCAGGTCTGTTTAGATACAGTTGCCCCTGTGGCCCTTGGGCGGCAATTGGACATCGAGTTCCACGTTCAATGTGCCATGAGAAGGAAGGAATGCTTCCAGACTCGGGTGGGTGTAAAAGGCTCGTCAATGTTGAGAAACGCGCATGTAGCAGCATGTCCTTCGAACCAGTCATGGCTCTTGAAGTTAAGATCTTAAGCTCCAAACAGCAAGCCGTGCAAATCTAATTCAGGCACACGGCGCTCCCACTGGAAACCCCATACCTATTCACAAAAAACAAGATCTGACTTGCTTTTGATCTCTGTGTCGACACTGCTCCTGGTTCTCTACTACAGGAAAGACGTACTGCCCCATTTCATGTCGAGCATATTCCTGCATGTGATGTTGCTTGCATTTAAAAGCGGTACTCATACTAGACTATACTAAGGTGGCTATAGTAGAGGTTGCCTACATAGTCGTCGGTTCTGCGCTTACCACTCGCTGATCCCGCTGCTCTGCTGCTGCACCTGCTACTCGTCTGCTTTTCCTGGCCCTCCTGCTGCTACCCCCACTCCTACTCCAACCCCTGCTCCTGTTACAGCTACAGCTACTACTACTACTACTACTGCTACTACTACTGCTACTACTACTACCACTACTACTACTACTACTACTACTACTACTACTACTACTACTACTACTACTGCTACTCCTGCTGCTGCTGCTGCTCCTGCTCCTGCTCCTGCTCCTGCTCCTGCTACTGCTACTGCTACTGCTGCTACTGCTAGTACTGCTACTGCTACTGCTACTGCTACTACTACTACTACTACTACTACTACTACTACTACTACTACTACTATTACCACTATACTGCTACTACTGCTGCTACTAACTACTAGAACTGCTAGGGCGATGACGACTCCGACTCCGGTCCAATATAACGGCTGCTACTACTCCTGCTACTAATCCACGTGAGCTTCAGCCACCCTGGTTGGTGCACCTCGAAAGGATACCCCAATCCGCCGTACCTGGTTTGGGATCAGTATTTAGAGCTTCGGTAATTTTGGAACGTCTGACAGGAGCTTCGTCGTCGTGGCTTGAATAGCTTTGGCTTGGCTTCTCAAATTCGGGGGCAAACCTTGAGAACCTGGTGAAAGGCTGAGCCTTCATCGCACCTGAACCCCCAAAATCCTCCGCTCTGGACGAGGTTGCATTGAAGCGAACGAGCGCTGAAGGGCTCAAAGGCTTCAGGAAGTTCAGCTTCACGGGCGGAGGGGCTTTCAGCACTTCAGTTTACGGTCTAGATTAGAGTTTATGCCTGATCGAAGCCCTGGCTTTTACCTTACAACGAGCTATGGTGCGATCTCGAGCCGGAACCCGAGCCGCTGATTTGGCAGCATGGGGTGGGTGACCACTTCAGGGTGTCGGAAACGCACGCTAAAATCCTTTTGAACGAGGTGCCTCCAATCCGAAACACAAAACCCTAAACCCCCTAAGCCCTAGGGAAGGTCTCCAATTCAGGTTTTTGGTTCTGAACCCGAACCCGGCGTAGCGCCCGCCCACTGGGCCCAAGGAGCTCATAGGGTGAGGCAAAGAAAATAGGCGGCGCCTCACAACCTAGTGATTAGAGTAGGGCTCCTGTAAAGGGGTCTATCAGGGTTGCTAGAAGGGATCTATAAGGGTAGTATGATTTAGGGGGCCGCAATAATTGGAATAGGGTTTTGGGGGCCCGCTATACTATAATTATAGTAAGGAACCCCCAGTAGTATTAGTAATTATTTCGGCCCCTATAGTAGTCCCTTAACAGCCACCTGGACCCTAAAGAACCTACCTTTGTAGGGTTCCCGACTATGATTTCCTGAAGTAAGTCTTCATAAATGTAGGGGTCCACGTATAGCTATGTATAGCTATCCCTTGGGTCATTACCTGTATCGATCTGTCCATTCTTCACTGACAGCCACTGTAACCAACAAACTATCCCCAAACCTTAATCTAATTGCTCAGCACGGCCATGGAGCCGCTACTCGGGTGCTTGGGAGAACTTCTTCCAACGGTAGAGGACATTCCCGTGCCAACCACTGTAACTTGTGCTATATGCAATTATACTTACAACTCTCTGGCTTATGACTGTACCTGCAACAAGTCCCCCTGATGCTGTTTCAGCCCGAAGTAACTTCGGGCTTACCTACAGGATCCCAAAACCCGTGGTTTCAGGAAAAACAAGAGCTGTTCTCAGGTATGAAATTTAGAACATGGTAGAATCCTTAATATCCTTAATCCAATATCCAAGAGGTTGAAAGGTTCGGGCTATTGTCCACGCAGCCTTCAGCTCGCCCCAACTCTAAACCTCTGAACCATAAACCCTTAAGTCCTGAACCGCATCCTGAGCCCTAGCCCTAGATTATATCGTGAGTCCTCCGCTGCCCAAAAGCTTCAAATCCTAAGTTACAAAGCCCTGAATCCCAGGCACTACCACTACCTGAAACCCCGAAGTCACGTCAAGAATTACCTATACTATTTTGGGGGGCTCCTTATTATAAGTATAGTATTATGGGCACCAAAACCCTATTTTAATTATTAAGGCCCATGTAATATGGAGAAGCTGCTCGCCGAGAGCCAGGGCCCGCCCTGTCAAAGGCAGCGGCCAAAGCTGGAAAGTACTTCGCCTCAGTAGGGCTTTTCGTTTAGGGTTTTCGACGCTCACACCCGCACAAGGCCGGCAAGGCTCCAGGGTTTAGGGTTCGATCGGGTTTTCAGCCTTTGGTCTATATATTTAGGGGTGTAGGACTTAGGGGTTTATTTCTAGGGTCTACGGCAAGGTGCCTAGGGTTTCGGTCTTTGGGGGGCTTGGGGCCGTCAAGCTTTCCGACATTCTGAATGTCTTGGATGACCAGAAAACTGATGACAACGTGAAGGGGCCGGAATATTTTCCAACCCTTACTCGAACTCTAATGGTACCCCAACACACGAGTTCAAGGATCCATAGTATCCCGTCCTGGGCCTCGACAACTCGAAACGAATCCAAAGTGAAAAGCCAACCCCGACCCTGGTCAAGGCACCCGAAATCATGAGATACGAGCCTCAAAAATCAACATGGGTGTTTTGAGGGTATATTTTCGAACAGAGACATAAGGGGGATGTTAAAAAAAACAAAGCGCAAACAGCACAAAAGACTTAGCACCGAATTTGCTCCATTTTGGCGAGGTTTTAGCACGCTTAATATTTGGAACAAGCTTTGCCGGCTATTAGGTGGTACTGTATAACCACATGAAGCTAGCTTGAAGAATAGTACAGCAAATAAGCAAAACAAAGTCTTCTATACTGTGCCGAGCAACAGCCCGTTGTACCTTGGAGCCGTGTGTTGGGGGGTTCTCCTGCTTTTCCTGCTACTCCTTCTGCTCCCCCTACTCCTGCTACTCCTCCTACTTCTCGTACTCCTCCTGCTCCTCTTGCTGCTGCTGCTCTTGCTACTCCTTGCTGCTCCTGCTACTCCTACTCTCCTCTTCTTCCTCCCGCGCCTACTCCCGCGTGTGCTCCTGCCCTGCTCCTGCCCCGACTCGTATCCCTAATTTAACTCGTTCTCCTGCTCGGTTTAGGGTTTCGAGCTTAGGCTCTGTGCTGAGCCCGGCTACCGAGTGTTACGAAGGCTTGGGGCGGCAGAGAAGCAGAGTGCTTTCGATTCCTGTGTAGTTTTTTCGATATGCGAGTTTGATGAAGCCCGGGACCGTAAAACAGACCGTAAATCGTGGATGCCTAGTATGAGGACCCCCAATTTTAAGAAACTCCCACATGGAGTTGACAGCCAACCTGGACCCTAAGTACGGCCTTAGAGAGGCACACTGCGAGTTGTGAAGAGATTTCGTCTTGCCGAGGTAGGGCTGCAGGGGTTCTTAATCGGCGGAGCGTGCGGTTCAGCGTGTCTTCTTCTCAGCTCCGTTATACACCTTGGCCTTGACCCCTACAGCAGGCTTTATATATATATATATATATATATATACATATATACATATATACATATATATATATATATATATATATATATAGTAAAGAGAGAGAGAGAGAGAGAGAGAGAGAGAGAGAGAGAGAGAGAGAGAGAGAGAGAGAGAGAGAGATAGTTTGGGTCTCCTTCTGTATATGCAAGCCCTTTTTTGCCACTGGACTTCATGCAAGCCCTAAAACCCTAACCCTTGGCGACGGCATGTTCACTGCGACAGCAATCCGAAAAAAGCCTCCGGGATGCCCCTGATCAGACCCCCGGACGATGAACCCGGCAGCTTTTGCTTACCTTTGGTTGGTAGGGAATGGAGGAATGGGGTGCAATTGTAACTACTATTACTACCATTCTTCCATTCCCTACTAACTAAGGTAAGTTTCTGGGCCCTATCATGTCGAAGCTCGGCGCGGTCTCGTAATTGTGCGCGTCCACCAGATCTCCGGCATCTTCTCCTCGCCGACATCGAAGGTCAACATAGGTCAACCCTGACTATCCTCAAACCCCAAAGCGTGTATGCAAAAAGCCTTTCCTAATTATGACAGCCATATGGGAGTTTCTGAAAACAGGGGACCCTAATATAGTACCCTAAATAGTAGGATCCTTACTATAGGGACCCCCAAATAATGTACCCCTACTTCTCGGGAACTCCTATATACTCTTTCCCAGAACCCTGATCCAGCTCGGCGGGGCACCTGAGCTAGGGCACAAAAGGCGCCGCAGAACTACATCGGGGATCATGTCCGGTTCGGAGCATGCGACGTCGATATCTAAGGTCGAGCGTGCAGTTGAGCAAAGCATTCTGCCAGACCTTAACTTGCTTGCTCTAGCTGTCGCTCCAAACCCTTCAAAATCGCAGCCCATGACCCCTTCCATCATAGGGTACACCGGTACACCCCTAGAAACACTAGGCTATTGATCCCTAGGAGGACCTTGGTTTGGCTCAGTGTCCCACTTGACAAAGTGAGTCCTGGGAAAAGGTCACCCACGTCGTTCCATCCGCTTGCCATGTCAATCCATCCTGAGCATTCGGAGATACGTTAACTCCGGTCTAGCGGCGAGCACCCTGTGTCATATTTACAGTAGACCTGGCTCAAAAAGGCTGGTTTGAAGTGCCTCTCAGCATCTGCTCCGTGCATAAGGACCTACCTGCTGGGTGTGTTCACCTCGCGCTCATGCTAACGGATGGCGACGACCTCTGCTGCTGCCAGCGCGAGTGCTATTTCTGCTACGACTGCGACTGCGACGACCAGGAAGAGGCGTGCAAGCTGCTGCCCTGAATACAAGCACTTCCTGGATTATCGTCCAGGGTTGAGGAACATGGACGTGCAGAAAGACATAACTCGAAGCAGCCTATGTATCCGTGCACAAACGGTCTTGGAAAGGTCCCAAACCCCAGTAGGAGTTCGGCTTGCAAGGCCTCGCACCCAGGGGTTTAGGGTTTATGGCAAGGCATGTCCTTGCAAACCGCTTTTGATGGTGTATAGTGGTGGTGCTCGAAAGTCTTCCCGCCCACACCCCCACACGCTGACATCCTAAACCTCTTCTCTTAACATCTCGGCCTCGCTGTAATCCCTCAAGCCATATACAGCCCCAAAGCCAGTCGCCAAGTTTATCTTCTTCACAAGGTCAGGATCCCTCCTGAGCCTCCCTAGATCTTCGTGCTACACTCTGCCACGACACATTAGAGTACAAGACAATGTGCATGCAGTCGTGCGAAAGCGCAAGTGCATATATATAGGTACGAAAAGCAAGCCCATAAGATACGCAAGGGAGGAACCCGGCACCCACGCCATCCCACACCAAGCTGCCCCAGAATAACGCTTGTGCAAACGAAAGGCGCGTTCCCCCAAAGCGGCGGAGCCATCGAACCACCTGCATCGTCTGAAACCTGGTGCTCGGTGGCCCATGGATGATCCAGACAGGCTCAGGACCAAAGGCCCAAAACAGGCTGGTCTTTTAATTCTGGTGGAGTCATATATAAAACCTACTACTACTACTACTACTACTACTACTACTACTACTACTACTACTACTACTACTACTACTACAACTACTACTACTACTACTACTACTACTACTACTACTACTACTACTACTACTACTACTACTACTACTACTACTTCACAAAACTACGGCTCGCCGACCCAACCTCTAACAAGTGCTGATTCGGCAATATCAGACGTTGCGGCCTTTCTCTTTCCTTGGGGTGACAGTGAGGGTCTCCTGGTGGGGCTGCAGGTCTGGGTTGACCTGTACTCGCACTGTACCGTAGTACTATAGCCAGATGAGGAAACCTCGGTGACTACAGAGTAACTCGTTCAGGCTCCCATATTCCAGAAATAGAGAACACGCAGCCCACAACCGGAAGTTGATAGAGCGGCCGTATGTTTAGAACAGTCTGTAGGGGCACATCATGTAGTCTTCTTGTATGCAAACTACAAGTTCAATACTCATAGATTATTCAGATCCGGATTTTTGTCCAGACGCGCTCCCGGTCCCACGCGAATCCACTTGAAAGACAGCGCAACGCCCATATGCCCACTAAGGCCAGTTTTCACCAACCCTTTAAGTTACTTTCGCAAAGCATCGCCTGCTTTGCAAGATAGATTGACAGGCCTTCGCAGCTCTTGCATGTGTTTACAGCTGAGACTTGGCCCACATCGAATTCGGAAGTGCGTCAGCAGCTTGAAAACAGTACTCGAAACCACTTCTTGCGTTCTGAGGCTCTGCCCCCAAGCCTCGTTGAAGGGCACCCAGCCTCGACTGAGGCTTGGGGGGTGTCGGAACTAGCTGCTGTACTCTGCCCGAATGAACCCCTCTAAGCCGCCCCTAACAGCCCGCGAAAGCCTTTGCCGGCTGCGTCATTGTGAAATGATTTGAAGTCCGGCTAGGCGAAATGCGCAAGCTCTAGTCTTGAGCGTTGAGGCTCTTCTTTTGGTTTCAGCACAACGTACACCCTGAATTTTGTAACTTTGATGGTTCAATTATGACTTGAAGGAACATATAATGTGTCAACCCCTGTCATTGCCGCTTTGCTTTGGGCGAATGCTCTCGAAGTCTTAACTTCTTAGCCGCCCCACGGGCCTACGTGGCACATGCTCTTATTCCCTCACGGAGAAGGAGGGAAAAAAAGGCAATGGGGGGATAAGAAGCTAAGACTTCGAGAGCATAAGCCTAAAGCAAGTGTATCGGAGCTGGGCTACGAACCGAAGCTTGCGAAGGCCAGTAAGTGGCAAACATGCAGCCTTCATTCTAACATGTCCTAAAGTTAAGTGGTTGATTGGGCTTATCCGTGAAGAAAAATCTGACTCCTTAACGTGAAAGACATGTTCTTGTTGCATCTACCCGTCACCGGCGTAGCTGTTGGATTTTGCAGGTCTTGTCGTACAAACACCACGCCTGCGGTGAGCAATGCTGGTAGCCGTGGTGATTACAGTTGCAGTGCTGACTAAGCACACAGTAGTAGCCTTGCGGTTGTGGCAGAGGTATGCCTGCAAAGACCAGCAGTTACTCAGCAATGCTAACAAGAACAACAGAAAAGCAACATAGTAATGACTACTACTATATAACCTTGTAATTTCGAGTCCTGGAGTCGGCGCTTCTGATCCTGGGACATACGGCAATCCCCAAGCTTCCACCCTGCCCCCATCTGTTGGAAGCACGCATCTCGACAGGACCACAGGGGCGGCCGGAGCGAGGGTTTGGATTCAGGTTGCTTGTGAGTTCAGTTCGTCTGCCGCAATCAAAGAGCTCCGTTTGTTGAAGCCATCGGGGTAAAGGCTTTCAGTTGGAAATGTCCTCCTTTTCCACGCCGAGGTACAGACGATGCAGCCGAAGCTACGGAGCCAGCGAGTGAAGGCCTGCAGCTCCTTTGCAAGTTTCGCTGAAAAGATCCAGGGTCCAGGCTCAAAGGCCGACCTTTGTAAGGCAAGTAAGGGCATATAATCATCTAAAATCAAATCATAAGGAGCCGGAAGACTGCACGTTTTCCAGGGTTCAGGTCGGGCTCAAGACAGCCTATGCGCCCGATCTAGTGATTTTGAGAAGTCCTTACAGCCCAAGGCGAATAGCAACAGTAGCTATTGGTGACGGTGGTGCCTGTGGTGATACTTCTACCAGAAAACAACTATGAAGTTCCTCGTTTGGCACAGGACGGTTTTGCAAAAAACGGCGAGTAGGACCAGGCCTCGTGTAGACACACCCTAAACGGCCCCTTTTTGCTACTGGACATTTAATAAGTCCTTTTTTTGCAGCAGGCCTCGTTGTCCAGCAGCCCGGTTACAGCAAGAGCCCCCGCTTTCCACGTTTTCAGTCCCTAAACCCTACACCCTTTTTGCATCCAGGCCTTTTGAGACTGCCGGGGACCTACCTACACCCTAAACCCCTTTTCCACAGGCTTGATTAGTGCTCGCCCGGCCAAACCCTAAAACCTACACTCAAAACCCCTAAATCCTTCAACCCTATAATTACCCCAAACCCTTACAGGGCCCCGTCTTGTCCTTCCAGAAGTTGGCGCTCGACTCGTCCGTCCGATGGATTTCATCCAGCTGCAAGGGTGCCACCTCCCCTTGCCTTCAGTACGGCTGTGGGGTCCAAGATTAAGGGATTTAGGATTTCTGGGCTTTACTTTCGTGCTCTTCCCTAGGATTCCTTCCTGTTGCGGCTATCTGCATGCTTTTTGAGTCTGCTCCGAGCTGAACTTGTGGAGGCTTTCTGAGATGGGTATAAGCTTATGCCAAAAAGTCTGCAACCGAAGTTCGCACTTGTCGCTTCGGATTTTCCTTGCATGTGATGTGCAAGCGAGAACCGAAAACGTTGCACGTGCTGCTTGCGAATTGTTTTTAGATGCTTTCCGACCTTGCTCATCCTGAAGTGGTTGAGCACTCCTAAACCGGAACCCCACCCAAGATGTCGACGTTGCGGCTCCACTTGGATGCAACAGGCTTGCAGCGCATCATGCACCGCAGGCTTCTACAGTAAACCCCATAAAGTTGGAAACCGGATTAAGGCCAAACAGGGCCAAACAGTGCTGGGATTCCGTATACATTACTCTTAAGGATTGAAGCTATTGGGTTTCCAAATTTTTGGCTTCTACTGTACTCCTCCTTCCAGTTTTCGGAACCCTTCAGGGTAAAGGATTTTTTTTTTACACGGCCCCTTTTCGTCTTCGCAGAATCCGAGAAGCGGATCTTCCGCTGGGCGTGTGAAAACAACAGCTATGTACCGACTGTGCATCGCGATGCGACTTACTCGTCCCCCCCGTTCTGGTCCCGATCAGGCCCTTCCCTCGAACTTTCTTCGTTCATCTTCTCCTCTTCAGGTTCCATGTTGCTCCCCCCGCTTTCAAGTAGATCACGGCCCGGAGGAGTATCACGTAGTGCACCAGACGGCCAGGCACCACCCCCAATGTCCCCAACCACCGTCGACACGTCACTCTCTGCCGGCAGCTCGGCGTTCAAGAAGACCTGGATCATCACTCTGCTGTCGCCGGCAATAGGTATCTCATGTGACGATGATGGCCGAGTTCCGTGAAAGTCGTCATCGTAGGTGGTCACAACCAAGCGGCGGCGCTTGGTGGTGGGGGCCTGGTGGCTCATCTCATCATGGAGTGCCCAATCATCCCATTCTTGGGCCTGGATGGCCGCCAACCGAGGGGCTTCCGCTGCCCGGTCAAGGTCATCCCAGTGATCCAGCATATTCTTGGCATCCGCTTGCCACACTTGAAGCTCAGTCGCCTCAAATGCCTCCTGGCTGGAGGTGGCATTCATCCCCCCTTGGCTATCCTGGATAGTCTCAGGTGGTTCCCGCCCCGAGTCGGCCGCATCGATCACTTCGAGGGCCGAGATCTGGTCCGGTGCAGGGAGCAGAGGCCGGAGTTGTCGCCACCACTGGTCCACAAACAGGAGGTCGGCATTGTTATACTCCGTGACCCCCTCGTCGTTGACATCCGCGAATTTAAAGTTTGGAGTTGAGTATGTAGGTTTAATGAAATCCGGCATACCTAACCTAACCCTCTACATCCTTAGCCCTAGACCCTAAACCGTAGCCGGAACAGCTTCCAGATTGCATCGGTAAAGCTTTACTTTGGCCAGCTCAAGCTAAGCTACTCCATGCCTTGGGTCTTCCACTTGTTTTCGTCTTATGGGTTTAGGATGGCGTTCTGAAGCATTTCAGGCTTCCTAATCGCTTCGATTGATTCCTGTGTAGGTTTTGTCTTCGTACGCCACTAAGCCAAGCCATCCCCATCCAGAGTTCGTTGAAGTCATGCAAAATGACGTCCGTAAGGCCTATAACACAGGTATACAAACTCCGTCGAGCGTTTCACATGCCGACGTAGTGGCTGTTCCAGAGTCCCCCGTGCTGCATCCCAGATGGGCAGAGCACGGCCATCGCCCGCCGGAAAGTCCTGATGGAACCCTGGCCGCTTGACCCACCAAACCCTGAACAGGGTTGGCGGGAGAGGCGGTTTGAGGGTTCTGAGAGCTTCGGATGTGCAAAGCTCTGCTGCCGAGCCCTACACGCATTGCTGTGCGGCCTTGCAAGGACGTAAGAGCAACCCAAAAGGACATGCTTCCGTAACACAGACCGATTTCGGGGGGCATGTTCATACTCAAGGGGCAGCTGTAGGGAGCATCTCGCTCGGTCATGGAAAGCTGTGTGGTTGATGTTCAACCCTAGAAGGCCAGTTACCAACAACGCAAATTGCCGTTTCTGGGCGGCGTACATTAAATCAGAGTTTGACATGGCAATGAGGCGTTGATGATGTCAATCGGGCTTGGGGGGTTAGTTTGGTATGTATGCATGTGTATATATATATATACACATACATACATACATGTATATCCATGATAAGGACCTCTATTACCAAGGAATAACATTGGTAGTTATTACAGGGTTGTATAGTCTGCCAGAGATACCTGGGTTTCGAGCGCAAGTTGGTTGTCTGTTCGTGGGAGCCGTCAAGCTTTTCGTTGCTCACACTGCGAGAGGACGCAAGCATATGCAGAGTTCAGGGTAAATGAATCGTGGCACTGCGACCTGAGGTGTTGGTGTTTTATGCTCGTCGCCCTACTCCTTAATGTAGCTGTTGCAAGCCTCACATCCGGGCTGAATCGACAGGCCCACACCATTAGAGTCTGGCATAAGCAACCGAACTTACATCTGCCCTATGGAGCCCTCAACGAAATTTCAACATGAGAATTACAGTACAAAACAAGTAACACAAAGGCCCATCACCCCAAACCCTAACCATAGCGGCTTCTCGATAGACCATTTCGGTTCTAGGGTACCTGCAGAAGCCCAGAAATTCAAACAGGAGCTTGATGAACTCCAAACTGACGCGTGCGTCTCAAACTCGACAAGACTGCAGAAGAAGCAGCCAAAGCCCGCAAGCCCCCGAACCCTAAACCAAAATCCCCCTCAACCCTAACGCCTAAACTGAAACCCTAAGCCCACGCCCCCTCAACTTCGAGCTCCGCCCCTGCTGGCCTGCCAAACGAGAAGGCCCTGGCTCTGGGATTAGGGGCGCACATATGCCGGGATTTATGGGCGCAGGGCTCTGCGCCTGCAGTGGCTGCCCTTAACATCACGGGCGAATGCCCACTACGGCAAAAATTTCCATCGCCTCCAAATCGCAGAAGTGGTAGAACATGGCAGGCAGGACCTTGCCGATATCTTTTGGAAAGCGAAAACCGATGGGCAGAAACAAGAGTATAGATAGTTACAGTCACACAGACCATCATCTCACATCATCATCATTGTCAACATCGTCCTCGTCATCATCATCAACTTGCGTCACCATCTTTGTTTTGCCCGGCAGGCCAAGCGAGGCAAACATTTGAGGTTGCGGTTTCGTTGTTTTCGGCCTTCTCAGAATCTGACTCTAGCTGCCTCCTCCTAATCCCTTTACCACGGTTTAAGGCGTTTGGGGTTTGTGGCGGTTTGTGGCAACAGCAATATCGAAAGTGTCAACAGCTGCAGCGGCAGCAGCTGCGCCGGCAGAAGATCTGCCGCCGCCAGCACCACTCACCACCCCCAGCACCACCCCCACCAGCAGCACCACCACGACCGCTACGACCACGCCGACCACCAGCACCACCGCGACCGTTCATCGCAAGGATCATGGGTGTTATCCTCACGACCAGCACCATTCCCCTCCGCCACTACCACCATCATTATCATCTTCCTCGGTATACGAAAAGCGAGTCCACGCTCGGGACCGCCTGCCAGCAACCCGCCAAAGGTCGGAGACCACCTCTATACAGCAAAAAGCCAAGCAATTTTAGAACGACTTCTGCCACCCTGTGGTGGGAAGAGAAAGCAGGAGTAGACAAAACGACAAGTTGAGCAAGTTCGGACTATTGGTTACCCTTTTCGGCGGGGCCGAGAGCCGGACTAGTGTCAGTTTTCCAGCCGTCGGCCTTGGAGGAACGTTGAACAATTCAGCTCGCCTAATGAGGTTTACAACTTGTGCAGAAAATTCAGCCCCCACGCACTGCAGGATTCGCGACCGCTCATCAGAATCTTAGTACAGGAAGACGAAACAGAAAAGAGCAGCACCATGGTAAGAATGGTCGCTGTCTCCGAGCTCGCCTGCGGCAACGCTCTGCAGGCAGTGAAGGCTTGGCAGTCAACAGCTACATCCCGGTGGGGCCATTTCCATGGCCAGTGGAGACAAGTAGTAGATGTGAACCTCCACAACGATTAGCCACAACAACCAAAAGAGATATGGTCTTCCAGACTTGTAAAGGAGCCGCCATAAGCGCCAAGTTTGAGAAAGCCTTCTTTGGCAGTGGAGTATGGTGGCCAAAAAGGCAGCCTGCATGCAGCAAAGCTGTTCTTGTCATGGCCAATGTGTGGCCCTGCAGGTTGCAGATGCTTGTCAGAAGCAGCCAAGGACACATCGCCTGAAGAAATGCGGATAATTACTGTGTAGAATATCGATATCCAAGCTTGGAGATTCTAGCGAATCACCCAAGAAGTGCCCCAAAGCTCCAGCGAATCAGAAAATACGCATAGCAAAGGAGCAGATGGCACAGTGACCTCGAATAACCAGCCTCCAGGGAATGAGGGACAAAGTAGATGTTGGCAATCTCGTGAAAAATAATGTCAGTCAAGTGGTTGATAATGGTAATCCGGCGACATTCAGCAGCATTACACTTGAAGAGCCATGGCGGCGGTAACGAGGACTGGGAGGAATGTGCTACCCCCTCGGAGGCCCACGGTTGCTTTGTGCCAAAGCTTCATCATTATCATGGCATATGTAATTCGAGAATAGCCAAGATAAATATGAACACTAGCGGAAGGTGTGTCACAGGCATGTTCACCGTCAGCGATCACAACAACGCAACCATCAACGTCGACCTCAGCAGCAACCTCAACATCATCTCCACCACCACATCATCATCCTCATCCGCATCCTCATACCATCAACAACAACAGCCACATCCGCAACCCCACCAACCGCAACCCCACCACCAGCACACTGCCAGCAGCAACAACATGACCGTCGCCTTCAGCAGCAGCCGGCATTCCGTCCTCTTCCCTTCTCCATTTCCGGCGCCTCCTCCTTCTCCTGTTTCGCCCCCGCACTGCACTCGTCCCGTCCTCATCCTTAGGGTTATGTCTTTGTGTGCTGTCTTGTTGGCAGCGACTCTTGAAAGGGTGTCGATTTTGTTGATTGGTGTGATGATGATGTTGCGGTGACTGCAAGCAACAATGGCAATTCTCTCGTCAGCGGATTGCACAACTTGAAGCAGGGTTAAAGGCGACACATACTAGAAATTCCCTTCCAAGGGCACAGTTGTGCAGCATGGCATCAATGTAGCACTAATGGACGTGATATTCACAATGATGCCCCCCTCCGTCCCTCAAGTCTTCTTGTCTGAACTGGTCATGTAGCAAGTGGCAGCTGCATGAACCCGCACCATGTTGAAGCCACTGTTCTTGATGGAACGCAGGTCCTGGTCAAAGCCACATGACGGGTGGCCCAAAATGAATTGCAACCTCGTTCGCCCCAATGTCGCATATGGCACTAGAAGACGCTGCCGACAGCTACATGGGCAGTTCTCTGAATCAATGTAACTTTTGGGGTCTTCTTTATAAGGGAGCCGTACTATCTTTGGGACCCAAAGCGAGGACTCTAACGTAGAGAAGTACCCAGGTTGCCACAAAACAGTGCGGACTACCGTCCCAAAGTCTGTGACTCACCTCGTGTCACCACCGCTCGATACAAGCCCTTCAGTGACTGCAATATCACACTATAAGCTACGGGCCTAAAGCAGCTCGCAAAATGCTGCAGAGTTGTGGGTTTCAGCACAGGGTAGGGGGATTAGAAGGTGGTGCAGTTTAAGTTATGGGGATGTCTAATGGGACCCAGCCACGGTGTCTGCCGAGATCGGCGATAGGCTCCTCCCTCCTCCCCTGCCTGGCATAATGTGCATAGTAGAGCTCTGCTGCATCTGGGCCCGACTCCCCAGCTTCAGCCTGTATGGATCTCCCCAAAAGACTCAGGGCCAGAAGCAAAGCAACTCATCGTTTCTTTCCTTTTCTGCCCGAATGTAATGCGACATTGGGTATGAGGACTCAGGGCACAGCGGATGGAAAGAGCTTCCGTGCTAACGATAGCAATACGCGAATGATCAGCACAGCCGCGCTCGAAAGCAAAACGGAACTCTGTGCGGGTCCTGCAGAATAGCCTCTTCGCTTGGTGGGGTGATAAGAGACTCCGGCCAATAGGCCTGGTAAAGGACCTTGGTTGAAGTCAGAGACTCAAGACTGAGGCACAAGACTCGCCGCGGCCTGAACCCCCAAAATTCAAAGCCCTCGAGCCCTCAAGTTCGGACCATCGTTTTCAGCTCAGAGCTCCAGAAACCCTTGGCGGAGATACGGTGTAGGTGTAATTCCCCTCAGACCCTCCTCTGCCTCTGCATGCCGTAGGCCCCTGATCGACCACCCCTTCGTGCAGAAGGTGGTCACTTAACCACGGGTTGAACTCAAACCACCTGCAGAACCCCAAAACAAGCCTACACCAATCGAGAAGAGCACCCCGGCGTTTACAGCTTAATGTACGGGCTCTAACAATTAGACTGAGGCTTGAGAGAACATTACACAACCCCCCCTCAAAAAAAAACACAGCATAGGCAATCATTAAGGCCCCTGTAGTACGCACCAGGCCCTGCAAGCAGAAAGCCCGAGGGATGATCCGAATCATCTATGGTTCAGGGCTTTTAGCCTACTTGTTGGGTATCATGGGGAACTAAAGGTTAACCTTTTTTGGTTATATAGGGGTTATATAGCGACTATACTACCCCAAAAAGGTTAAAGGTTACCTACTCTACTACTAGGTTAGAGTCAAAAAATATCTTGCGCCATGACATGAGGGGACGGATGAAGTAGAGGTGCTTGTGATGCCTCCTGGTGGAGTAAGGCTTGAAGTTAGCTGATGTGATACATCTGGGTAGTTGTCAAAATTAGGATTCCCTTTTTAGGTACCCTGAATATTAGGTGCCGTATTATATGAAGGACCCAAAAAGGGTCCATAATTTTGACAACCACCCATATCTAGGTCCCGTCTGCTTCCGAAGCCGTCCGTATTCAAACTGATGCTTGTCTCGTTTGACCTGTTGCTGCATGTTCTTCGCCTTATTTTTGGGCTTAGTTTGCTGAGTTAGTTTTCAGCTTGAGAGCGCCGCTTTGAAGATAAGCTTCACCGTTCAGGAGCAGAGCAACTTCCCCTTTCGGTCCTCGAACTGAAGATTCGGGATATTGCGGTTGCTGAAACTGTTTACTCAATGTTTCCAGCTGGAGACTGCCCAGAGATGACTCACATTTGGGCCCTCGATGGGGGCGACCGGCGGATTTCAGGAGCCTAAAAAGCTTTCACCAACCTCGCCGCCCAGGGGCCCCAAGTTTAAAGCTTGAAAACTCTGCAGATGTGTAAAGACCGCGTGACTGGTCGGCTTCGCACATAGAATGCCCTCTAGTCCTAGTGCTACACCCAAAAGGCAAAGCTCTTACTCCCCACTTAAAAGATCAGCGGTATCAGAAAGATAACTGCAAGTCTAAGTACTCAAAACTCCAAGTGCATGGGTCAGGGCTTGCGGCTGCGGTTTTTGAGGCTTGGGTGAAGACTTTCTGCCTGTGCGCACCCATGTTCACCTAGACCCCTTGTCGACCTTGTCGGATCCATCGAAATATCACAGGTATTCTTGCAACAACCAGATTTGAACAAACAACGCAGACACTGCAATTGCACCCTCAACCCTGAAACCTGAAGCAAGAAGTCCAGGGAATTTGATTTTCGGTTCCCACTGCCGTCCTTGGTGCGGCTCTGCCGTTCTTGAGATCATGCGCAGGGCAAACTTGAAGTCAACCGAGTCCTTAAGCTCATGCAAGGTCCAGATCTTTACAGGTTTCGCATGTGGGGTTCAGGGGCATCAAATCCAACTTCGGGCTATCGGCTCTATGGTGCGATAAGATGGGGCTGGCTGGGGTTATGTCGTTGATTGAGTGGTTTTGATGTTGGCCTACCAGTACTGCTGGCTGCTGCAGTTTTATATGAAAGCGCTTTCTAACACTATTGTCACTATTGTAGAGCACTTGACCGGCAAAGCTTCGCCGCAAGTCGACCGCATCGAGGAGCACAAAGACAGCTTCGCCATGTGTAGCCTTGGGAAAGTGGACACAAATGGGAGTTTCCGAAAATAGGGGGCCCTAATATAATACCCTAAACAGTTGGATCCTAATCATAAGGACCCCAAAATCGTGTACCCCTAATTTTCGGAAACTCCTAAATTCGAAGAACCAGCTATAGGCAACCCTCAACCCGCAAACCGAGTTCGGGTTATATGTCCCTTCTTCTGAACCCTACTTATAACTAACCATGAACCTCCAAGCCCGCGAGGACTAAAGACTCTTCAAGGATAAAGCCTGCCAAGATTGAACATGCAAGCCTGAGTATGAATTCAGTGTACTGCTAGGAATCCAGTCTACTACACTTCTAATTCTTGAAGTCGCTAGATGTGCACGAAGCAGGCACAGATTCCAGCAAGTGTCTCCACAGAAAGAGAAACAAAGCACCCACTGGAAAGGCAAGGAAAACTAGGATACCCAGTAACCTAAGAATACAAAGGCCTCTCTTTTTGGTATTGGGTAACTTTATAAGGAACCTAGGACTACAAAAAGGGAATAAGGGTACTTCTGGGCATCCTAGAAAAGAAACCGCAACAATTGATGCCCATGTATTGATTTATGGCGCCAACAACACAGTACCCACATATCCATAGCTCTTCTCCAGTCAGCACAGTCGAGCCTGCAGGAACACATCGGCTTGAACCCATAACAAGCACAAACCAGAGCCTAATCTATGATTCAGGGTTTAGGGCTCAGGGCTGCAAGCCCCAACTTTGGTTGACAGGGAAGCCATTTGCGAGTTAGAGCCCCTCGTTCAATGCAGTCGCACGCCCGCTTCAACCCCAAATCCCGTGTAGGACCCCACACCGTGTGGGCCGTGCAACAACCGCACGAAGACACACCAAACCCCCAACAGCCTAAACCGCATCAACCGCACCAGCAGAAAGCGAGAACTCTGACCCGATCATGAGCCACTGACGATGATCCACTCTACGGACCTCACACCGCGCCGCCCCAAAAAGCAGTCGACCTATGTTTGTGTGTGTGTGTCAAACTATAATTGTAAAGAGAAAAGCTGACAATGAACTGCACATGTCCGAAGACAATCTTGCCAACGGCTGTTAGCTCCCTACTAGCTACCGATATCCTGCGGCGATGATCTCCTCCGCTCGCAACAGGGCAATCAGATAGGCATTCATCGGCAAAGGTAAGTTCGAGAACCAAACCTTGTCATTGCCAGGAAGGTATGATGCAATGGTCTCTCGACGTTTCTGTGACTGCGGCCATGGATGCCAGACAAGCCAGCCTGCTCGAACTTCTTGTGCAGCTCGTAAGTGGTCAACTCCATGACATCGACATCGTCATCGGCATGAAAGCGTCCGCATGCGATGTCTGGTCAAGGCAACGCCACCCAAGTCGCTGCAGGACGACAGCCCCCTTTTCACACAGAGCTTCTGCGCGTGTGCGCAGATCAGTTTCTGCGCTGCCGGATACCGGTGACGTGCCATGTGGGACCATGTCAGTCACTGGTTCTGAAGCCGCGGACAGCATGTACGACCATTCCTTTTATTAGATTAACATTAAATTAAGAAGTTAAGCTTGGTTTATTGTACCAGAACATATTATACCATTCTGAACTCAGCGATGAAAAGTTCACTCGAACGAGACTACATGACGTCACATTACATTACAACGTACTATAACTGTTTCTGATCCGGCCCTCTCTTCGTCGAAAGATCGAAAGAGTTATAGTTATATGACAATGTAGTATATTGTGTTTTACTCGACGCATTATCTTTACTATATTACATCATAGTCCACTAATGTATCGGCTTGTTTGTTATTGTCGTACAAAATGTCCTATTGTTTTTATGCCGTGTCATGTTATAACTGTAGTTGGTTGTCTTTTTGTGCTGTATCTTATTCTCTTCTATTCTGCTACATCATGCTATATTGCGCTATATTGAATTTATCCATTTTGACCTCTGACAAAACTTGATGCATGCTATTTGGTGTTCTATTGGCTTATTGAGTTTATCGCATTATGCTAAAACAGCGAAAATATATTTAACTCAGGTCTGACTACTTCCATTATAGTAAACTGCGCTGTGTTGTATTGTAAGATGCTGCATGTTCAAGAAATCAATTTTAGGATATGCTGCTACGCAAAACTAAGTCTTGATTATACTATATTGTACTGTACTAGGTTGTGTTCTCCTGGTGTTTTGTTCCATTATGCTCTCGTAGACCACATTAGGGGATTACACTATACCCTATTCTTCTCTTTGCCATCCATATTGCGTTGATCTGTCTGGTATTTATATATATATATATCACATTGTGATTTAAAGAACGACAATCTTCTACTGCTTACACCATGCAATGACATGCTATCTGATACTTCACTTTCTTTTTGGGCTTTTTGACAAATATAACAACACTACAATAATCGTCACGGCCATGAACATAAGACTTATGACAGTGAAAACAATCACAACAATAACAATTGCATCCACAACCTTGAACCGAGTCTGTCATAAGAATGCTCTTTATTCATCGTCAGCAGAATATTCACAGCACTGATGCCTATCACTGTGGTTGCTACAGAACCATGAAAAACTACTGCTCTTATCATAAATACTCGGTGAAAAGGGGGGAAGCTTTGATGCCGCCAAGCCACGTCGGCTTGGTTGGGCTCCAGAGTTCCCAAGGTTCGGGGCCCACGACTTCGGCCGCTTCCGTGCTGCCTTCGAGGCGTTGCAGTGTCGGGTTTCTACACAGTTTGGGGCTGTGGGGATTACGCTCTGGCGCCTAAAGCCTGAACTCTAGAAGCCCCGAAAGCCTGAGCCCTTCAATCCTAAACCCAGTCTTTCCATGAAAAAACCCCAGATCCTCAAGTGCGAGGGGCCTTTACAAAATCCTCAGCTCCACACCCCTCCAGCCTGAAAAGCCCAAATCCTAAGATCCTTACCCCGAAACCCTAAAAGAATAGAGCCCTACTTCGGAGTAGGGGTTTAGGGTTTCGACACGCACACTCGCTCACGCAGGCACGGCTTCGAGGTCTCACTGCTACCGCTACTACCGTGACAAGCCATCATGTGTAGGAGTGAGAGCAAGGCTGGAACAGCGAAGAGTACATACAGAGCATAGGGTACAATAAGGGTTTAGACCTATAGAAGACTTAAAACCCGACATCCCAACAACCTAGAACCCTGAATAACATCCTAAACGTTAATCCCCTAAAATCCTAAAGACTATAAGCTCGCGAAACCCTGAACCCTAAAAACTATAGAGCCCCATTGTGGAAGCCTGCAAGAATACAAGATTATCCCTGAAGGGTTTCTCAATCTTCTTTGCCTTCACTATACTCAACCCCAAAACCCTATTCAACCTATCAGTACTATAGGGGCCTAAATAATTGCCAATACTATCTTGGGGGTTCCTTATTTTTTAAAGTTCTAGTATAATAGGCCCCAAAACCCGCTTCACATGATCATCAAGACCCCTATGTTATGGAAACGGCTCTCAAAGCCTCATAGAGCCGTTTAGAGGAACCCTTTTGGGTTTAGGGTTTAGGGTTTAAGACTGCGAAATCCATTGCAAATGACAAAGAGTACGGCCCTTAAATGTAGTCTCCGCTGTTGATTTAGGATCCTGTAAGGTAACCCCAAGAAGGAACCATTATAGACCCCAAAACCCTTTTTTGAACGAGGTCTCTCTGAAGTGCCTCGGTCCCAGATCCCAAAACCCTAAACAGTGAGAGACTATATGGGTGTTTCCGAAAAGAGGGGACCCTAACATAGTACCCGAAGTAGTAGATCCTTATTTTCAGGACCCCCAAATAAAGTACCCCTTGTATTCACTCTAATATATACTAGGTATACTAAAGCCCTCGGACCTGATCCTTCCGCGATCTTTGCCCCTGCGTTTCAGGCGGCACCCGGGTGCTTAGGGCCTCTGGCCGCTTGGGCTAAGCTATGGGGTTCTTGAGTTTAGGTTCGGCGGGGTTTAGGGTTTACAAGGGTTTCAGGCCTGGGCAAGGATCCTGGTACGCGGCGAACAGCACATTGGCAGAGGAAGACTCCCAGATTAAGGTTTACAAGGGTTTAGGGGAGGTCTTTGGCTGGGGTCTTGAGCATTGGAAGCGCGGGTTTGGGGTTCGAGACAAAGCAGAACTTGAGTTATGCAGTGGTTTCAGCATCTTCTGCGTAGCACGGCATCGGAGCAACACCGATACAACAAAGCTTCTGTCGCATCTCCCCTCAGGGTGCGCGCCGCAATGCCGCTGAACGCTTTGAAGGTGCAGGCTCCATTCCACAACTAGCCGGAAAGTCTTGAAACCGCCACCAATCCAAACGATAGCATGCCCTCGACCCTACGACTCCAAACACTGGGAAGCACAAGAGCTTGCATGAATGCACATCTTCAAGATCCGCTGTGTGGCATGCACTCGCGCGAGGCGAGCAGTAGATGAATCAGTCAAAGAGCATGTATAGATGAGCCGCCAGCTGAAGCCTGCAGTTCACAATACCTTGTGTTTTGCTGGCGGGAAATCATAAAGATCGTTTTCATGATTCTTCACATGGCCCTCGACGTATCCCTCTCAGGTGGATACGTGCCTGAAGTTAACATCATGGTTCCTGACGTCGACCCAACTGCCCAAAACCAACTCCGCAAGACCCCACAGTAAAGCCCATAAACAGCAAAGTCCACCGGTTCAGAACTTCAGGCTTGAGGCTTCATGGTCTATCATGGTTCTTTGCGACCCAGGATCTGTGGGGGGTCAGGGTCTCCTCAGGGTGGGGGGATTCCGAAGGAACGCGCACCTAGGTTATCTTGGACCGAAAAATACCCCGATAGCACCCCTTGTGGCAACTCGTAACGTTGCTAAGCACAAAGCCCTAAACTCTATAAACCTTGAAGGAACATGGAAAGATAAACCCTAAAATTTACAGGAAAACCTTAAGAAGCCCTACAGTGAACCATGGTGCTAACATCCCCTATGCTTTACATTCAGGGTATGAGGATATTGTTCCAACTTTCTGGACTCTACTATACACCCTAAACCTTGAAGGAACACCAGCACCCTAAACCCTAAAGAATAAGGACACCTTTTTGCATCCAGGCCTATTGCAACTGCCGGGCACCGCCGAAGGAACTAAGGGCCAGGCAAATAAGGGAAAACCTGAAACCCAGAACCCTAAACCTTAAAAGGACAAACCGTGACAAACCTAAACTCCATAAAGGAAGATCTGACACCCTTTCACATCAGGACTTGTGCAATCACGTAACCGCAAATCCTACATCCCAAAGCTTAACCTGAAACCCTGAACCCTACGACGAAACCCGAAACTTTGAAGGAATACCTGGAACCCAAATTAACGGACAAGCGACTCACTAAACCATGAAACCTTGAAAGGGAAACTTGAAACCCTACATCCAATACCTGAAAGCAAACCACGAAAACGAGTCGTAGTGTACCCCGTTGTAGTAACCCTGAAGACCTTAAACCTGAAACCTTACAGGCCCCCTCATGGTAGCAACATGCTGTCCGCAACGGAAGCAAAAAAGCTAGTATTCTACATACTTCTGAGGTCCAGACAAAGATGAAAGGAACAGAAAGGGGCGTGAATAACTATCCATCCTTTTCGGGGTGCCTTTTCATATGTAGATAGCAGCAAAATATACCCCAAAACCCAAGCCCGAAAGGCGGGGGCCTTCGAGAAAGACCGCCACTTGCAAGAAGATCCCCACACAAAACCTCTGCTCGGTAAGGTCCACCTCAAGGAGCGACAAGGCTCTAAGAAGGGATCTCAAGGGTTGAAACTTTCGATTTTCGGGTGGACGGAGATGCACTAGGGCTTTATAGGGGGCAGTGTAGCGGCCTGAATCATTAGCATCGGGTTTTGGGGTGATATTATTGTACCGTAATTACTATAAAGAACCCCCAAAACCCTGTTCGAATTATTAAGGCCCCCGCATTACATATTGGTCTAGGAGCCTCAATCTCCCAGGCTCGTCTCGCCCAGAACATCCAGAAACGCTTCAAACCTCATTCAACATTGTGCGAAAAACCTGCACCCTCTCCTACTCTCCAAAGCCTATTACCCGGGTGTGCTGCGGACATGCCACCTGTAACATTTGTTGCCGCGGGTGACGACATCCTGCATGCTAACATGCGAGAGCTGTGGTTAATCGCCACGTGCACGATTGGAGTCGAGAGCTGCATTATGACGGCACCTGAGCTGTGAAGCCATGCTTCCCTTGCGTGCAGCCATGGCGACTAACCAGGAACATTTAGACAAATTGAAATCTCAGGGATGGAGTGCACGAAACGCGACCTGACTGTGTCGAGCTGCGGGCAAATGGTCGTAACCGCGACGTGGCCAAACAATGACGAGGTCTCAACTCCATCCCCTTTAAAGATCACAAGCTGTTGGGCCTGGCGAAGCCCGTTGATGCAGTTCCTCTTCTGGGCTGCACCGATACAGCCAAACGATTGCCAGCTACGTGTAGAGTGTAGAGCTGCGGTCTGTGCTATGGGACGAAACGTCAAGCCAAGATCTGTTCCCATCACGCTGTGGCCAGTTGCATCATGCTTTGTTGGGCGGTCAGTCCCGCAGCGCTTGCTACCCTTGCACAGAAGGCTCAAAACATCCATCCATATATATATATATATATATATATCTACACACTTGTCCCGACCAGCAAATGCATCACACAGGTTTTTTGCGTGGTGCACCGCCGCTGGCAGGACTGAATTCGCCCATCAGCCTCATCAGCTGCGCTTCTCGAAGGCCGCAAGCCGAGCCTCCATGTCCTTCAAGTCCGGATCTGCCTTCATGTCCTTGTTGCTGTAGCCGAACTCGTTTCGCAGCTTGGCCTTGTAGACCTCAATGTCGCCCTGAAGCTGGGCGTACTCCTTCTGCTCTTCTGCACTCAGGGGCGTCTTCTTCTTGGAGTCCTTCTTGGCGTCCTTTTCCTTCTTGGAGCTTCCTGGATCCTGCTTCTCTTTGAGCTCGTTCAATCGGGTGACCATCGCCACGATCTTCTCGTGCTTGTTGATCTGTCCCCCGCTGAGGCCCTCTTCCTTAAGAATGGCCTTCTCCTCGATGATCTTCTGCTTCAGATCCTCGAGCTCCTTCATCTCGTCGTGGCTCAGTCCTGCGCTATCGGCTTTCTTCTCCTTCTTAGGCTCCTTCTTCGGCTTTGTCTCGACAGCTTCCGGAGTGGGCTCTGCGACTGCGATCTCGGGGCGCACGGCTTCCTTCGTGATGAAGAAGCCAAACTTCGGGTCCAAACCCTTCACGATCTTGCATGCATCCACATACTTGTGCTCGTTCTTCAGGTCAGCCGCCTCTTTGCCCTTGGCGGAGCGCTCCTTCTTGTTGTCCTTGCCGGTGAGCTGCGTGGCCTCCATCTCCAGCTTCGCGATCTGGGCGTCAACAGCTTTCCGGTATGCTTCCGCGGCAGTGACGTCGTACTCTGCACCGGAAGCCTCCGTGGCCTTCAAGAGTTTCAAGCCCTGCTCCGCCTGAGACTCCATCAAAGCACCACCCCTGGTCCTGTCGGCGGCTGCCATGGTGGAGGGAGTGCCAAGGAGGGCAGTGTGACGACGGCAGGCACTCTGTGAATCTCAGCTGGCTTGAGCTGGGGCCAAGCAGGAGGAGCCATCCAAGAAAATGCACAAAGAGCTCTGAAGCCTTCAGCGATGGTCTACCGCACTAGGCACGCCAACTGTCCAGGGTTTAGACCATGCTATATGACCGCCAAACTTCGGCTGCACTCATGAAGACTAGGTACCAAGCGCACCTCCTGGCCCAGAACATCCGGAAACACGGCGCATATCAAATTTCACCGTGGTCTGAAATGCCTTCACCCTCCTCGACTCACTATCTTATCCCCCGAGTGACCCGCGGACCAAGCCATCTGCAGCATTTCTTGCAAAGGAGACTTTGCGACGTACTGCTTGCTAGCATGCGAGAGCTGTGGTTAATCGCCACGCGCACGACTGGCTGCGAGAACTGTGCTACGACGGGGCCTAAGCTTCGCTTTCCATGATTGCGTGCAGCCATGGCGACTAACCAGGAACGTTTAGAAAACTTGAAATCTCAGGGATGGAATGCACGAAACGCGACCTGACTGTGTCGAGCTGCGGGCAAATGGTCGTAACCGCGACGTGGCCAAACAATGACGAGGTCTACGCACTCCATCCCCTTTAAAGATCACAAACTGTTGGGCCTGGCGAAGCCCGTTGATGCAGTTCCTCTTCTGGGCTGCACCGATACAGCCAATCGATTGCCAGCTACGTGTAGAGTAGAGGTCTATGCTATGGGGCGAAACGTCAAGCCAAGATCTGTTCCCATCACGCCGTGGCTAGTTGCATCATGCTTTGCTGGGCGGTCTGTCCCACAGCGCTTGTTACCCTTGCACAGAAGGCTCAAAACATCCATCCATATATATATATATATATATATATCTACGCACTTGTCCCGACCAGCAAATGCATCACACAGGTTTTTTGCGTGGTGCACCGCCGCTGGCAGGACTGAATTCGGCCATCAGCCTCATCAGCTGCGCTTCTCGAAGGCCGCAAGCCGAGCCTCCATGTCCTTCAAGTCCGGATCTGCCTTCATGTCCTTGTTGCTGTAGCCGAACTCGTTTCGCAGCTTGGCCTTGTAGACCTCGATGTCGCCCTGAAGCTGGGCGTACTCCTTCTGCTCTTCTGCACTCAGGGGCGTCTTCTTCTTGGAGTCCTTCTTGGCGTCCTTTTCCTTCTTGGAGCTTCCTGGATCCTGCTTCTCTTTGAGCTCGTTCAATCGGGTGACCATCGCCACGATCTTCTCGTGCTTGTTGATCTGTCCCCCGCTGAGGCCCTCTTCTTTAAGAATGGCCTTCTCCTCGATGATCTTCTGCTTCAGATCCTCGAGCTCCTTCATCTCGTCGTGGCTCAGTCCTGCACTGTCGGCTTTCTTCTCCTTCTTAGGCTCCTTCTTCGGCTTTGTCTCGACAGCTTCCGGAGTGGGCTCTGCGACTGCGATCTCGGGGCGCGCGGCTTCCTTCGTGATGAAGAAGCCAAACTTCGGGTCCAAACCCTTCACGATCTTGCATGCATCCACATACTTGTGCTCGTTCTTCAGGTCAGCCACCTCTTTGCCCTTGGCGGAGCGCTCCTTCTTGTTGTCCTTGCCGGTGAGCTGCGTGGCCTCCATCTCCAGCTTCGCGATCTGGGCGTCAACGGCTTTCCGGTATGCTTCCGCGGCAGTGACGTCGTACTCTGCACCGGAAGCCTCCGTGGCCTTCAAGAGTTTCAAGCCCTGCTCCGCCTGAGACTCCATCAAAGCACCACCCCTGGTCCTGTCGGCGGCTGCCATGGTGGAGGGAATGCCGAGGAGGCGTGACGACGGCAGGCACTCTGTGAATCTCAGCTGGCTTGAGCTGGGGCCAAGCAGGAGGAGCCATCCAAGAAAACGCACAAAGAGCTCTGAAGCCTTCAGCGATGGTCTACCGCACTAGGCACGCAGGTTTAGACCATGCTGTATGACCGCCAAACTTCGGCTGCACTCATGAAGACTAGGTACCAAGCGCACCTCCTGGCCCAGAACATCCGGAAACACGGCGCATATCAAATTTCACCGTGGTCTGAAACGCCTTCACCTTCCTCGACTCACTATCTTATCCCCCGAGTGACCCGCGGACCAAGCCATCTGCAGCATTTCTTGCAAAGGAGACTTTGCGATGTACTGCTTGCTAGCATGCGAGAGCTGTGGTTAATCGCCACGCGCACGACTGGCTGCGAGAACTGTGCTACGACGGGACCTGAGCTTCGCTTTCCATGATTGCGTGCAGCCATGGCGACTAACCAGGAACATTTCGAAAACTTGAAATCTCAGGGATGGAATGCACGAAACGCGACCTGACTGTGTCGAGCTGCGGGCAAATGGTCGTAACCGCGACGTGGCCAAACAATGACGAGGTCTACGCACTCCATCCCCTTTAAAGATCACAAACTGTTGGGCCTGGCGAGGCCCGTTGATGCAGTTCCTCTTCTGGGCTGCACCGATACAGCCAAACGATTGCCAGCTACGTGTAGAGTAGAGGTCTATGCTATGGGACGAAACGTCAAGCCAAGATCTGTTCCCATCACGCTGTGGCTAGTTGCATTATGCTTTGTTGGGCGGTCAGTCCGACAGCGCTTGTTACCCTTGCACAGAAGGCTCAAAACATCCATCCATATAATATATATATATATATATATATATGTATATACATACATATGTATATATATATAATGTATATATCTACGCACTTGTCCCGACCAGCAAATGCATCACACACAGGTTTTTTGCGTGGTGCACCGCCGCTGGCAGGACTGAATTCGCCCATCAGCCTCATCAGCTGCGCTTCTGGAAGGCCGCAAGCCGAGCCTCCATGTCCTTCAAGTCCGGATCTGCCTTCATGTCCTTGTTGCTGTAGCCGAACTCGTTTCGCAGCTTGGCCTTGTAGACCTCGATGTCGCCCTGAAGCTGGGCGTACTCCTTCTGCTCTTCTGCACTCAGGGGCGTCTTCTTCTTGGAGTCCTTCTTGGCGTCCTTTTCCTTCTTGGAGCTTCCTGGATCCTGCTTCTCTTTGAGCTCGTTCAATCGGGTGACCATCGCCACGATCTTCTCGTGCTTGTTGATCTGTCCCCCGCTGAGGCCCTCTTCCTTAAGAATGGCCTTCTCCTCGATGATCTTCTGCTTCAGATCCTCGAGCTCCTTCATCTCGTCGTGGCTCAGTCC